TAAGACCAGTTTTAACAAACTGAACTTAATGAAATTTATAACGCCTGAGGATTGAAAATAAATAGTGAAGACAAAAAACAGAAGAAAATATGAACTTTAAAATTTATCACAGTAGCAGATACTTTCATGGAAAAATTGAAACTAGCGAACCAAATAATTTATACGTTAAATATAAAGAACTTCAAAATTTTCTTAACTTATCTTATATTGTTTGCTATACACTTAGCAACATTGAATAAAATCTTGCATTAAGCTGTAATAGACCAAATATTTTTAAAGAAATGAACTGAAAATTTTGCCATTTAACTTTAAACGTCATATAAACAGGGTTGTGGTTAATTACATAATAAGTTAAAGGGCTTATTACTTGACAAAATTTTTACTATTATAAATTTTGAAATATTCAACAAAATTATTACACAACAAAATTTAACCACTTGGCCTAAAAATTATCTTCTTGGCCTATAGAAATTGTGAAGGCAGTTTTTTATGAACTTAATTGTGAAATAAAACTTAATAGTAAAAAAAAAAAAACTATTGATGTACGGGTGTTAAAATTTTTATTTTTTGATTTCTTTAAAAACATTTAGTAATTGGTAGATCATAATACTAGCATAAGAGAAAATATATTAATTCAGAACTCATAAAATGTATTGAACTAATATACAAATACATTTACAACACTTACGATGGCAAAGGATTGTAGTGTACTTACAATGTAAAATTATACCACTAATATCCGTAAAAAAAACTCAAGCAGCTTGTCTATAGCGTTATATAATTCAAGGTTCTTATTAAAAATTAAGAGAAAAATTGATATAAACTATAAAGTTAATATAAAGACTAAGTTTTAAAGTTTCAAAAAAATAAATGTATCAACTATTCAAACAAAAAACTTAAATTCTACCTTCTAAAAAATTTCTTGATCCTGGGGAAATAGCAGATACACGATTAGAATACATTGAATTCTTTGTATCTATAACTGAAGAATCAGGTGCAGACTCCAGTAACAAAACACGCTTATTTTGAAAATACGGAGACTGACCTATACAAAAATTTTTTTTTAATATTTTATATATAATGGAAATAATTTTTAACAACATAAAGCTGGTTAAGACATAGAGTTATTAAAAACCAGGGTTTGCATTAAAAAACCCGCCCAATAAAACCCAAAAAAAACCGCCTAAAAAAACCCAATAAAACCCTGGTAAATCTGGGTTTTATTGGGTTTTTTAAAGATATTTATCAAATTAATGAACTATTATAACCAACTTTAACATTATAACTATAATATTATTAACTAAAATAATTATTAACTAAATTATTATTAACTACTATAACCAACAATAACAGCTATCAGAGCAGGTTTACTATTATTTGAATCATTATTTGGAAATACATTATTACAATTTTTATTCAAATATTTTTATTGATTGAGATTTTTATTACTTTATGCTATTCACCTCCCAAGTTGAATTTAAATGAGTATTAGTGACCAGAGAAGCCAACACAACAGTCGAGGAGGCTACCTTGTTGTGGTTACAATCCTCTCTCAATTCTTACGCGGTAGTGGTAGAGTGCTCGCTTCATAAGTGAGAGGTTCTAAGTTCGATCCCCACTACGTCCCTGGCAGTACTGCGCTTAACTCCTTTCTCCGCGCAGCGGTCTTGTTCGTCAAGGTTCGTGTTTCGGAGTTATAGAGTTGAGAGAAGGTTATAACTACAAATAAATAGCCTCCTCGCCTGTAGTGGCCTTACACCTTAGGGAGGTGAATTGATTAAAAAAAAAACTAAAAAAAAAAACTCTTTAACTCCTAAACATGAATCTTTATAAACAAGGCCGCTGCGCAGAGGAACAAGTTTGTTCATTTGAATTTCAAGTTCAAAGTTTAATTTAAACTTCAGTTACTACCTCCCATTCTCTAGCCTTCTTTTTCCCATTTTCTCATTGACATTTTTAATTATATAGAATAATACTTTTAAATTTAAAATAAATCAATACATATAGATTAAGCGTGAAATTTTTTTTTCTTTTACAGTTTTAAATTATATTTAAAAATCTTTTTCAAATCAATTTGAAGAATTCTTGTTATAAATAATTAAACAACAATATATAAAATATGTTTTGAATAAAGTTAAAGTAGAAAATGAAACTAATTTTCAATATCATTAAACAAAAACACAAAAAAATTTTTTACAGGGACAAAATAAAAATTAAACCCAAAAAAACCCAAATTTACTCAAAAAAACCCACTGGGCCGGGTTTTTTTAAAAAAACCCGGGTTTTTGCCAACCCTGTTTTTAAAACTGATCAAAAATAATTTAAATGACTGATTTATTCAGAAAAACACTTAAACATAAATTTGTAAAATAATACAAATTCCCATTCATTAACTGAAACTAATAACATGGCTGGAATTACAAATCTTTATTCATTTTCCTTCACACAAAAGACAAACTTATTTGAAACATCTTATTAAAAAATATAAAAAAGACAATATAAAAAAGAGAGCTATGAGGAGACAATATAAAAAAGCCTTATCAAGACTATTTAACAAATAAAATAAATTTATTAGAAACAATAAAAAATCTTTTTTAAAAAAACAATCTTTGGTCTATAATATAATAGTTTTGTTAATACGTAAGGTTTGTTGTCTATGTTAAAATTAATGTATATTTTAACTGACATAACTTTTGATTTACTTACCTAGTGCACATGCAATAGAAGTACCCACCATACCACCACCAACAATTATAACATCAGCATAATTATGGGATATTGAACTAGATTGAAGTGACCGGGACCCATAACATGGAAACCTTTGTCCAAACTTAATAAAACACTTAGATGCATTAAAGATTACCATTTTTATCAAGATTTTCTCAGTTTATAACAAATTTTATTTTTGATTAATCCAATTCTTTGATTAAATTTACCAGCAAGATTAAACAAAGTTTACTGATTTTTAAAAACAAATTTAAAATAACATTATTGGTTTTATTTATTTATTATAGTGTGGCTAGATTCGAATAAAAATTATAAATTGTTAATTTGTAACATTGTTTGCAGCTACATATCACAAAGCTACTATAAGATAACAAATAAAACTAAATTAAAGTAAGAAAGGGGATGAGAATAATAAGTACAAGTAAATATGATATAGCAATTATATTTTCCATTCAGAAATGTATACACAACAAAAAATGTTAACGATATGATTTTTGGTATCTTGCACGAGCACCAGGTCCACCAAATTTCTTTGCTTCACAACGTCTTGGATCAGCTACTAGTAGTGATCTATCGTATTGAATAAGCACATCTTTTATTTCTTTTTTAGACGCTTCGTCAACAAATTTTTGATAGTATGCAACTATGGCTTTGGATATAGCTTGACGAACTGCATATAACTGAGCCACTTGACCGCCACCTTTAACACGAACTTGAATGTTAACACCAGCAAATTTATCTTTTCCGAGGAGTAGGACAGGTTCTTGAACCTTCATACGGAGACTAACTGGTTCAACAAGGTCTAGTGGTCGACCATTAACTTTAATCATACCATGACCTGCTTTGCAAAATGCAACAGCAGTTGCAGTCTTCTTACGACCATAAACTTGAACAGATGTTGATGCCATAGTCTAAGATAAATAATCACAGTAATATTATACGATAAAACAGTTCTAAGTAACAAGAATTAACTAATTCGCTATTCAGGAGATAGTACTACAAGACAAGCTTTTAAATTTGCACTTTATATTTTCACCCTTTTTTTATTTAAAACAAAACCTTATTAACAAGTTATAAAGCAAATTAAAATAAATATAAATAACGTATAAAATAAACTGATTGGCATGATACTAGAGGATACACAAATAAACATCTTTATTAACAAAGTGCTAAGGACACCATCTTACCAAGTACGGACAGTTTAAAAGATTGAGGCAGGGAGACCATTATTCCTAACCTTTAAATTCATCGAGTCAAATATTTTCTCTTTTCACTCGAATTTGTTTGCGTTACTTTGTAATACTTAAATCGCTTACACGCTTCTACAATCGCGTAAAAAGCATAACGTATATCGTTCAGCGTAATAGTTTTGATAGTTTTTTAAGGTTCTTCAAGAAATCACAGAATATTGTCATGGAGCACTGTGGAATAGCATTTAATTTATTTATGTTTGTTAAAATATAATCTTTGTGTACTAAAAAGCAGAAAAAAAACTCTTTAATCTAAATTTAATAGTTCAGTAAACTGAAGGTTGTCAGGTTTGTTTCAAAATGAATCTTGTTCAGAGGAAACAGTTGATACTTTTTAGGGATTCACGCACCCCTCTTCCCCCCTCATTCTCTCTCTCTCTTTATATATATATATATACATATATATATATATATATATATATATATATATATATATATATATATATATATATATATATATATATATATATATATATATATATATATATATATATATATAGAGAGAGAGAGAGAGAGAGAGAGAGAGAGAGATTAGAAAATTTTTTTTTTTAATTCATGGCATTTTTTTACTTTATAGCATTTTAAAGTTATTGTTATACTAAAAATACTAAAAAGCGAATTGGGCAAATAAGCACGAAAGCGTCGAGCCAAACAACTCAAAGAAACTTATACTCATTTACGCACTAAGCATTTTCCAAATCTTGTTACTTATGTTAACTTCAAGATAAACTCGAAAATATTTTTATGAAAACATTTCCCCTGATTTAATCACAAATATTAAACAAGACACTCGATTAGTAACTGTTATGTTATTTGACATAAGTATAAACATAAAAGATTTTGGAGTTTCCTCCATGTAATATCTGAAAGTTAGCTCAAAAAATCAAAAATGCTAGATCCACCCCGGTATTTTTGATAACTTTTTGTTATTGTTTGTTTTATTGTAAAATTTGTTTGTTTATTTTAATTCTGCTTTAAAAAAAAACCGAAAACAAAACAAAACAATAACAATAACAACAAAAAACCCACTTTTTAATATTTTATTATGTGATCAAAAAGTAAGAACTGAATGAACTGATAATTTTTTTTTTACTTATTAATTTAACACTTTTGCATAAAAACAAAAATATAAATTATTTAATCTTATTCTATTTCAAAAAAGGAACTTTTTGATGAAAAGACATTTTGACTTATATTTGCTCCAGTCAGATAGTAAAGAAAATGGAAATTAAAACTTTAATGATCATACTGTAAAATGTAAATAATAAGTTTCAAAAATAATTCACAACGCATTCCAGTTTAGTTACCTTAAATGCATACATATTTGCAAAATATATTTAAAATATGACACATTTGCATTTTGTTCTACAACGAATAAATATTATCGGACAAAATTATTCGAAGCTCATCTTCTTTTTAAGCTTTTCATAGGCGCAGAAACGATCTTGGATACTTAGCTTGAAACCTAGCTTGAAGGTGTTATTTCTATTCATTTAGTCACTCTTAAATGTATGCTAACTATTTGCATTCGGAGGAGGACATGTTTGTTTTCGATGACGCGATATGAGAGAAGTGGTTGCTTAATTACCAGTATTCTATCAAATTGGTATTAAAGAATCTTTTTTGTGTGGTGAAGTCCTTTCAGAGCACCGCGGAAGAGCCATTAACTAGGACGTTCATTCCTCCTTTCTTACCAATGTTGTTTAACGGGCTAGAGCCGGCGTCGAACCTCGGCCCTATTGGTTCTGAGCCAGAAGTCTAACCACTATGGCAAGTCTGCGTTAATTTTACAGTCTTGTGATGCAGATTGTTTACCGCTTCCGTCGATTTGCCACAACCTCACAGCACTCTTGTGTTTCAATTTGTATAAAGCTTGTGTGTTTGCACCATAATTTTTTTTATAAACTAATTTAGTGATGTAAAAATCATTTTATAGCTACACTTTAAAAAAATAACTTAAAAATGTATTTGTTTTTATATTTTCTAAATTTAGAACATCTCGAACTCTCAAAACATCAATTCTTCCACAAATTCGCCTTTCACACATTGTCGTGAATGTATGCCGCATCAAAACATTATTAAGAAATTTTATATGCAACAAATAAAAATGATACAAATGTAACTTCAAAATGTAACCCTGACTAGATAAAACATTCTTTGATCAAGCCATATTTATGTTATTTTGTTTTTGCTTTTAAACAGGATCAAGCAGCGGAAGTTAAAGAGGAAAAAGCACCCAACAAAATGTTATTTACGTGAAATATCTAACGAATAGATATTAGAAAATAAATTTAACATCGATGAAAAAGAATTGTTTGTAAAGTAAAGGAATGGACAAGAGCTATTTCAACTTTACCTTCAATATTAGACTAACTATTAAACGTATATATTGTGGCCGAAACCACGAAAAGAAAGTTAACTTTGATAAAGGCATACTTAGTTTTACCGAAGCTCTTTTTTGAAAGAAAAAAAACACTTTGAAACAATGCTTTAAAATCTAAATCTAATCATCTATTTTGTTTACAACTAAATATACTTCGTCTGCATTGTCACCATCAGCAATAAGTGTTGTCAAAAAATTCACCAGATAGCAGCATATTACCCATATTTTTATTAGGATCAGCAGCCATTGATAGAGGAAAAGCTGTTTGTAAAGTTTTATTGCTCGTTCTATATTTACTCTAACTGATGCAATTCTTCTTGTCATTACTTCACCATCATAAGACAACTGCTTTTTAAATGAAACATTTTCTGTAAAAATTCATCAATTTCAAATTCTCTGTCATAAGTTATTTTTGAATGTTTTTTAATTTGAAAATGAGTGCTCCTTCCACCATACATATCTGATACAATTGTCACTGCACCACTTGGACCAATTCCAATTAATCCTTTCGAAGTATTATGATGTTAATAGGAAGAAAACAGAGCACCACCTCAAGTTTTCAATTTTTCTTGAAAGGTGTGTTCTACTTCGTGTTTGTGTGTAAGGGAATGGAAAAAAAAGGGAATTTCTTTAAAGCCACTGCTGTTATTAGTTTTCCTTTTTTTACTTGATTTAAGTTGTAATGTTTTTGGAACAATGGTTAAAGTTCTGTTTATGTAAGTTTTTTCCCACCGATAATGAGCTGGACAAACTCTGTGGGTAGAAGTAGGTTTAAAATCTTTTCTGCTAATTTGATGAAGCCATTTTTTTTTTTTTTAGGGAATATATATAATAAAATAGAAATACTAAATAAGTTTTTTTTTTTGAAGAATTATTGAAATAAAGTGGTACAAAACAAGTAATTCAACCGTATTTTTTATTCATTTTGAGTTTTCCAAAGATAAGATGCAACATTCTTCGAGAGAAAAATCAGTTTTATCTGCAATCAATAAAGCTTTTCATGATATACAGACAATGTTATGATTGCTGCAGCATACATTTACCACAATGCATTGTATAGTTAAAGTGGGAACGGCAAATTCTTTTGTTCCGCGCGACTGAAAACGAAACCGAAACAGATCTCATTTTTATTTTATTTTGTGAAGTTATTAGTTTAAACCTAAATCCAACTTATCTTTCTTATTTTGTAAAATTATGTAGTTTAAAAAAATAAATCTAACTTAAAAATGTCGTGCATGAATTAAGATATGGATTTGGTGAGTATATATATATATATATATATATATATATATATATATATATATATATATATATATATATATATATATATATATATATATATATATATATATATATATATATATATATATATGGTTTAAATTAGGTTTTTACTAAAAAGTGCGGTATTAAGTTATCATTTTAAACTAAAAAAAGCATAACATATTTTATTTGAGTGAACTATATTTTTTACCAATATTATTGTTATATTTCATCAAAATTATTCATTATATCATTGTTTAATGTTCTATATATAAATACAAGCTTTGCTGTTTTTTCTACCCCCAAAGTTTCTTAACTTAGAATGAACAAGACCAAAAGTTGAAAAAATTCTTTCAATTCCAGCACTAGAAGCTGGTGCATTTAATAAACCTTTAATATCCATTATGTTATAATCTACAATTTTTAGAGATTTCCACCATTCTATTGGTGATACATTTTTTAAAACAGATTCACTATACAAATAGCTTTTATCGAATGGAGTAGATTTGACTTTTAATTTTAATATTATTGGTAACAAATTCTTGAACTCTTTATCTGCGAAATTCATGGCAGCTTCATTTTCATTTTCAGAAAGATTAGATCCAAAATATCTAGGATCTAGTGTGTTTGCTAGGAAATGAGCATCACTGACAGTCTGAAGGTATCTAGTTTCAATTTTTTTTTTTTTTCGTTTGATAAGAATGATAAACTGTTCATCAAATCTTTAAAAATATCAAGTGTCACTTATTTTTGTTTGATCTCTTTGCAACTTATCTAGAGCTAATGGAATTGGTTTTAATATTTTCAATAAATCTTCTGTGTTTCGCTTTATCTGTATATCACTTCTTTTTTTACAAATCATGGGATCCAAGTCTTTATTTTTTTCAAACATTGTGAAAATGATTCTCAAGTTGTTGACATATTTTTCAAGTGAATCACATACAGAATTCCAGCGAGTTTCAGTAGGAAGTGGCAATTTTGTTACTCCGCTTAATTTATAAATTGCTCCAGCTTGATGATTATTTCTTATATATTTTATTATTAGTGTAACATGCTTGCTCACATTTTTAATGTTAAGATCATTTGCTAAAAGATTCAGCATATGATCTGCACACCCATAAGTTATGATAATATCTCTTTCAGATGACAATACTTGTCTCATTGATTTCATATTAGCTGCATTGTCAATTTAAATAACTTATCAATTTTCAAATATTTATCAGCTGACGTTGAATTGGGCTGATAACTTTTCATTTTTTGTTGTGATGTTAATGGTGAGTTACCTATAAAATGAAATTGCAGTTTATTGAATTATTTTAAGTTAATGTCTATACATTAAAGTAATTTAAATATATATATTTACAGTTTAGGCAAAGTATAAAATTTTAAATGACAATGTAGTAATTTAATTACCTTCAAGAAGTTGTTGATCTTCAATTGACTCCATAATTTCATGGGTTTGTGATTGCTTGCACTTTTTTATATGTTCATGCATCTTTTAAATTTGACCTTCCATTTCTACATGCATTACAAACTGCTTTACACCCCTTTCTTTCTGGAACAAACTGCTTTACACCCCTTTCTTTCTGGAACAGTCGTGTATATTTTAACCAAATCGTATCACATTTGATATGGATTTGGTGAGTATATATATATATATATATATATATATATATATATATATATATATATATATATATATATATATATATATATATATATATATTATATATATATATATATATAATATATATATATACATATATATATATATATATATATATATATATATATATATATATATATATATATAATATATATATAATATATAAATCAGATCATAAATTTTTTTATACATTCATTCTGTTACTTTTTTCTAATAACTGTCTACTTAAATACATGGAGAAAAAATAATTCTGAAAAAGTAGAAGTGTCCCTACAGTCTACTTAAAAAAAAAAGAAGTTTGACTGCTTTATCTTTTTTCTTAGTTGCATTAGCATATATGCATTTGCATTTGTTCATTATTATTATAATATGGTATATACGTAAAATAAAGTTTATATATTAATAATACTATTATATTGTGTAGCATTTTATTTTTCTGCTATTATTTATTTAAAGTTATTTTATATTAGGTTTTATCATTTTAATATACTATTTAAAAGTATTTGATATTACCAAAGTTATTATTATATCTAATATATATATATATATATATATATATATATATATATATATATATATATATATATATATATATATATATATATATATATATAGTTACAATACTATTTATACTTTTCCAATACTTCTAACAAAGGGTCTGTATAAGGTATAGTTGTCTTTTCTGTCTTCAATAAATAATCATTTCATCAAATCCACTATGGTATTTTATATAAACTATATATATTATGAAATGGCTGTAAAGTTCTTATATGGTATTTGCTACAAATTTCTATCTGATAACCATAAAGCCATACAATGTCACTTGTGCAATAAATAGATTCACATAAAGTGCAATAAATTTGATAATAAATACTACAACTCTTTAATGAATAAAACAAGTTTTTAGTTTTGCTACAAGTGTCTTAAAGATACTATACCATTCTCATTACTAACAGATAATAAATTTAATTTATATTTAAATAGAGCTAATGAACCATCATGTGAATCTGTATACACTGTACTATCAAACCTCAACACTGTACTATCAAACCTCAACACTGTACTATCAAACCTCAACACTGTACTATCAAACCTCAACACTGTACTATCAAACCTCAACACTGTACTATCAAACCTCAACACTGTACTATCAAACCTCAACACTGTACTATCAACCTCTTCAAAAACCTTAATGATCTCAAAAGTAATACTGTAATACAACAGCATTCAACAATACTATCAAAGATTTTGAAATATACTTACATTTTAATATATCATCATTAACTACATTGATAACCATAAATGTCTTATTTCTCTCATGAAAAGCAAACCTATTATTATTGCCATAGCTCGAGCACATCTGCAAAAAAACAAGATCCCAATAACTGATATATCTTTAGATGGCTATCTACTTGAGAAAACCAATTCACACTCTAATAATGGAGCAACTCTTGTATATATTAAATTATAAATTAGATCTAAACTACAAGTTGAGAACTGATTTTGAAATTTAACCTTTATTAAAATCAACCTTTATTAAAATATTTTTCTTATTTAAAAAAATATAATTGTTGAATGCATCTATTGTTACCCTTATATGCGAATCACTTAATTCAACAACATTTAATTACAAACTATGCAAGATAAAGAAAAATATCAATGAAAAAAATATTGCTCTTTTAGGCAACTTTAATATCAATCTCTTCAACTATTACCTATATGATGAAGTATCAGCCTTTCTTAACTCTCTATGGGTTTTAACTCTCTCAATTTGGTTATCACCATATCAACTAAACTAACTATACAATCTAAAACACTCATTGATAATATTTTGATAAACTTCTACCATCCAAATCTTGAATCAGGCAATCTAACAGCATCTCTTGCTGATCATCTCATCCAGTTTTTTGTCTTGCCATGTAAAATTAATAAATTTTTCACAACAAAACATATTGTTGCTCCTTTAAAAACTTTAATCAAAGTAAATTTCTTACTAATCCACAACACTATATTGGTGAAATATAAGCAAAGAAACCAAAAAACGTCAATAGTTCTCTCTCAAAATTTTTTGAACTCATTAACAAAGCACTTGACCATCTCATCAAAACCATTGATAACTGCTGATATTATTATATCCATAAGTATAAAGAATAAAACTAGAACTTGTCAACCAATTCAAATATTACAGAAACAAAATAAGCATTTTAACTCATGTCTCTAAAAACCATACTACTCTAAATATTTTAATCAAAATGTTAATAACCTCAAAAAAACTTGCAATGAAATAAAAAACATAATAAGTATACATAAAAATAATAATAATACTATAGAAAGTTTACTTGTAAATAATCAGACTATCACTGACAAAAAGCCAATCGCTAACTTGTTTAATGATTATTTCTCCTCAATCGCAGACAATCTATCATCAAAAACCCTCTAAGCATAACTTTAGCCACTATCTAAGAAACCATTATCCAAACTCATTTTTTATATCCCCTGTTACACAACAAGAAGTAAAAGATTATTATTCCACAATAAATCCAAAATAAAGCACAAGTTACTTATGTTACAAGTATACTTTCTTAGCTTCAAAAGAACCAATAATTCATTTACCGTTATAATTAATGAATCGTCTAAATCCAGAACATGTTTTGACCTATTTAAAATTGCTAGGGTTATTTCAATCTTGAAAAAACACAATTCATCTCAAACACAAATCATCTTAACTATCAAAACACATTTCAAACACAAAACATCTTAACTATCAATCAATATCACTACTATCCTATATCAGTAAATTGCTGGAAAAATTAATGTATAAGAAAGTTTTCTAAGCTAGCACAATTGCCTATATAAGCTTCAGTTTGTATTTTGCAAAAAACATTGTACTAACCAAGCACTCATAGACATAACGGAAACTATACATGGAATGTTGACAAAAAGCAGGCATTTTTTAGTTACAAGACACTCATAAATTTATGTTATGCTATTTTTAACTTGCATATGCTTTACGGTTTTTAGTTTCAGAGGGGGCAAAATTATTCAAAGTATACAAAGATCATAAAAAACCTTTAAAACAAATCACTTGAATTTGTTCATTTCCTATCTCTCAAAAATTATGAAGCAAAAGATCAAATATTCCTATTGAGTTGCACATTTGTATGGGACATACAAATGTGCAACTCAATACGTTTAAATAACAACTTACTAAGTTTACATAACAACTCAATAAGTTTACATAACAACTTAAAAACTTTGATAGTTATTATAAATTTGTTAATAAAAGTCATCCCTATAATCTTAAATCAACTTCATGTAACATTCTTTTAATACCTCTAAAGCAAAAACTAAACTATGGCATTAGTTCCATTAAATATCAATCCATTAAATAATGGAAATATCTTTCTCCTGAAATCAAGATAACGTATTTTAAAAAAGGAAGTAGAGCTCTCTTTATCAACATAGTCAAGTAATTTATCTAAGATAAAAATGATAAATTTTAAAAGTTTCTGCTGTGTTATTTATTTCTATCATTATTCTTCATGTCATTTTGACCTAATCCTTTGTACCTGTATTTTTTTTTTTTTAAATAATGTCATTTTGACCTCATCCTTTGTACCTGTATTTTTTTTTTTTTAAATAACATTGGTATTGCTGATGTTCTTGTTACTGTGTTGATATCATTATATATAAGTGCTGTTTTTTATTATTTTTTGTGTTTTTATTTTTATTTTTTATTTTTTTATTATTATAATATTATTAGTCTAATATTACTGATATTATTATAATTTATTACCAGTACTAGTAATATTTTATATATTTTGTTAAATTTACTGTGAATATTTGTAGGTTGTCATGTTTTTGTCAGTTACATCATCATCATCATCATCATCATCATCATCATCATCATCATCATCATCATCATCATCATCATCATCATCATCATCATCATCATCATCATATATATATATATATATATATATATCATCATTGTTTTTATTATTATTATTAATAATAAAAACAATGGCAATACTAAAAATTACAAATTAGATAAATTGGCAGATATTCTTTTTATTTTTTTCAGAGAAGATCTCCTCAGCATTTGGAAGGAAATCTTTTGTTCTTACATTCTAATTATTTTAAAGTAAAAAGAGTTTGGAAAGAGTGCTGTCTTATGGTATGTATTTTTTTCCCAAATTTTTTTTATGTTTTATTTTGCAAGATAAAATTTATTTTTATTTTTGATTAATAAGCAATTGATAAACATCAGAGGGAATTAATAATTAAACATCAGAGGGAATTAATAATTAAACATCAGAGGGAATTAATAATTAAACATCAGAGTGAATTAATAATTAAACATCAGAGGGAATTAATAATTAAACATCAGAGGGATGTTTGTAAAAAATTGATTAAACTTTAATTGATATTTTTAAACAGGTTCCATCAAAGGACATGATTTTTTTTTAGGAGTTTTCCACCACACTAGATAAATGATAAAAGGAATTTATTTTCCTAAAGTATGGCTGTTGAATATCAATTTAAATTATCAAATTTAGAAGCAAAGCCTTGCTGATGCCATTTTCTTATTTGTTATAAATATTAACATGGTTTAAAGCACCCAAACCTTTTTTGCTCCTAACCAAGTCCTACAGTTATTGAAGTTTTTAGTGAATTTTAAATAAATTGATATGTAGATAGTAGATACAGTAATTTTAAAAATGATAAACCTTGAATATTAATTTACAATGAAGAATGGTAAAAAGATTATTGTACAATCAATTTTGAAATTACAGTAATGTAAATTTATAATTGGTTCTTTTACAATAGGTGAATGATTTATTAGAGAAATATATTGACCATTTTATTGTAGTCCTAATTGAGAATTTTTATGAGAGATTTAAAATTAGTACAGAATTTTTGCATGCTAAATTTAATTTTTTTTTTCAGACAACCTCAGGGATTTTTTTTATATTTGAATCAAAAAAATTTTATTTCAAAGTAAAGTGGCCATGCACTTAAGATATCATATCAAAAAGTTCAATCTAAGTCTTTTTTTATTTTTATTAAAATGTGATAAGCACAGTCTTATCACAGAGCACCGTGGAATAGCATTTAACTAGGAAGTTCATGCTTCCTTCCTTACCAATGCCGTTTATCAGCCTAGAGCCATTTTGAACCTCAGACCTCTTGGTTCTGAGCCAGAACTCTAACCACTACATCTTATCAAAAAGTGAAATCGAAGTCTTAGTTTTAATTATGATATACTTGACTTTAATTTCTTCACAAAAAAATGTAATGTTTTTTTCTTGTTTATTGGTTTTCTTTTTAATATCTTTTAGACAGAAAAGAATTAGTAAACTTCTATAATTTCTTTTTAGTCTAATATGCCCATAATAGTTCAAAATAATATGCTATAAAAAATTCTGGACAAACTGTTAGACAAAACACTGTGTAGATTTGACTCATCAAACTAAGTTTAACAGTCTTTAAATGCAAGATTTTGTAAATTAAATAGTTGTTATTGTTTACTATTAAAAGCTCAAAATTTTATCTATTCTATTTTTAAACATATTTTTGTATGCACAATTGATTGCTTCTTGTGGTAAGAAATTCAAATTGTCTATTTTTTAGATAGTAATACCTGCATTATTTTTTAATAAATAGTTAATGAAACCTTTTACCATAATGAAACCTTACTACCAGCCGGTCTCACAACCATTAAACTAAGTTTTAGAGTTGTCATCATAATCAGATAAAAAAAATTAAGAGTTGCCCAGCCACTACCAAGAAGACAAAAATAAGAAAACTCAGGGTTATCGTCAGAGGCAAGTAGAAGAGAATCAATGGTTTACTTATTACTTACTATTAGATAAATAATGGTTGAAAATTTTCTGCTTATTCTTAACGTGTTTTTCTAGTATTGAAATCAAACTAAAAAGTTTTGCCAAGTCCAAAAATTCTATCAATATCATTGCTATTTTTAACATTTTATGAAATCCAAAAATTAAAGCAGCAATTTTTACTATAAACAAACCCATGTTTTGTTTTCTTTTAACTATTTTTTTAATTTTAACGTTTTAGGATTCTTCCTATAAACTTTTTTTTTTTTTTTGTTCTTTTCACAATTGATAAATAAATTCTTTAAATTCTTTTAAATTAATGTTTTTTTTCTTGACAAGAAAAAAATTTTTGAAATATTATCTGAAATGTATTTCAGATAATATTTCAAATATTATTTATACTTATTTTTATACTTTATTTATACTTATTTTTATCATGTTATTCTTGCTAGACTTTTTAAATTATTTTTTATAAACTCATTAAAATAAACAATGCTTGATATTTCTCCCACCATGGAAGAGAGGGAAATAGGATTGAGAAAAATGTTACAATTATTTTATTAGTTTATAACAGGGTGTTAGCCAGCCCAATGGCACCGCATATAATGCGGAATTCCCAAAATTCAATGATCTTTGTTTTTTTGTTTTTTGAAGGATTAGGACTATTTTGATAAAAAACGCCCATATTTTGTAAAACACTTACAATAAATATTCCCAATATTGCAAAAACGCAGTAAAAAATATATTCTTGACTAACACCCTGTATAATTTGTTATATAATATATAACAAACTCAAATAAATATATTTATATCAAGTTTTATTTATATAATATACATTTTAAAAGTATTAAAATATATATATATATATATATATATATATATATATATATATATATATATATAATATATATATATATATATATATATAAAAGATATTAAATGTTGGAAAAAGGTACTCATTAAAGTTTCCTAAAATAAGTTTTACTTTTTTTACATCAGAATGGTATAAAATTTCTATAAAAATTTTGTTTTATTATTAGAGTGGCATCAATGGTATAAAATATAAATATAAAGTTTAAAATAATAGTCTAACAAATGATTTAAATTTAGTGTAAAACAAATTATTTTAGGTGAATGGGGATCTTTTGTGTTTATATTCAAATGAAGATGACAAAAACAAAGGAAAAATAATGCAAGAAATATCACTTTTAAAGGTATTCTTTAAAATTATCATCATCATTATCTCCGGAACTGTATTTTTTTGTATATACTGTTTTGTTCATATTCATTGATCAAAGTTTTGTTTGTTATAGAACAGAAAACTTTCTTTGAATTTTATGCGCAAAATCTTTTTCATTGCCGTAAACCGATCAGTCTATAAATCTTAAATCACTTGATAAATTTGAAAAACAAATAATATTTTCATTAATATAAAGTACAATAACATTTTGCAATTCTTGTTCTGTAAATGATATTTAACATTTTTATGAAAAAGATTTTTTTTAATGATTTTTATAAAAAGTACAAAAGTAACAGTTAGGTGATGCAAAAACTATCAGATAAAATAAAAACCTCAATACCTTTTTAACGAATAAAGAAAAAAGCAATTAGATTGTTTTTTTTTAACTCAAAGTATTTATTTGTGAATAAAAATCAGTTATTTTTATTTCAAATCTCCATCATCTGCAATCATTATCTATATCATCTGTAACAGATCTTAATTTTGCTTTGACACTTTTCTGGTCAACTGTAAAAAAATTAAATCATTATTTTTTAGTTTTAGTTTGATGCGATCAATCAAAGTTTTTTTCTGATGAAGCTAGCCAACATCTCTTTTAAACCGTTTGGGCCAAATGCCCTCAAAAATTTTCAATTTGTTGAGCTTGATACACATTTAATGGATTCGATTCTTTATCAACATAATTAATATGTTTGTCCATCGAATTTAGATAACTTTTAGAGTAATAAGTTGATGTATTGATTGCTACAGCCTCAGAAGTACATAACAATGGCTTAGATATAGGACAGTCAAAAATGGCAATCCTAATCAATTACCAAAAGTGATTCCGTGTTATAAAACACGAAATCACTTTCGTGTTATTAAGTTTTTTGCTACTTTTCTTCTCTTTTAATTGTTTTTCATTGGTGTATTTAGGAGTTTTTTAACATTATCTGTAATAAATATTCATTTTTTTTTAAATTGGCAACCAGTTCTCAATTGATTCACATTGAATTTTAAACCCGATTTTCTCCTTTTTGGTTGTTGACAAGTCTCTAATTTGGTTTTCTTTTCTCTAGTCCAGTATGCGTAATGACCAAAAAGCTTTTTATCAGAAAATGTACTATTTTTCTTTTTTATCAGAAAATTTACTATTTTTCTTTTTTGAAATGGTTTACAATTTTTCTTTTTTTGTATTATGGTTTTTTACAAATTAATTTTACAAAAAAGACAAAAAAAGTCGTTCTGCTGCATGTAACTTAATTTTTTTTTTTTCATTTGTGATAAATTTCTTTTAAAGAATAAAATAAATATTCAGTATATTTTAATGTATATACATCAAACCAGGTGATTGTTTAATTAGTGAGAAAAATTAAATTTAATATTTTCCGATAACTTATGCATCATTTGTTACATGAATGAAATACAAAAATATAATCTCTTTATATTATTGCCAAACCTAATAGTCTAATGGTAGTAGTAGTGTCCCTTGGAGCGTGTTTGACATGACACCCTTGGCAGCCATTGCAACTGAAGTATTGGCAGGAAAGAGTCACAGCTTTGCTTTATAAAAAATACTTAAACATATATCTAGTTTTACATTTTTACTTAAAATTGCATTTTGTCAACCTCTTTTCTACTTTTGATCTGCAGCATTTATTTCTGTTAAAGCAATTTTTATATAGTTTTAAAATTTCAATGACTGACGTGCCAGCTTAGCCGAGTGGTTAGCGTGCTAAGCTTCTGAACATGGTCATGGTTCGAATCCTACCACCGGCGACTCTCTTTTTAAATTAAATTTTTTTTTTTTAAATACAAAATACTTGTGAAGTTTTATAAAGATTATAAACAAACATATCTAATGATATTATACACTTTAACAAATAAAAGATTTTCAAAAAAGTTAAAAATTCTAAAAACATTAAAAAACGGGGGGATATTTGTTGTGTAAGTGTCATGATTGAGATACTTATGTTATTTTAGTTTTCAAGTTTTTTTTACAACTAAGTTAAGTTTGTGCAAGAAAAATGAGTATTCAACATGTTTATATATATAATATAAAATCTATTGAACTGTAAAGTTGTTTTGTTTTGCATTTTAAATAACAAAAATTAAAAAATAAAGCTAGCTGAAGATTTGAACTTGCCACATGGCGACCTTAATTTTTTAAAATAGTAAAGGGGTTTAAAAAAAGTGCCAGCATGGTCGATATGCAGTAGTGATGTAGTGGTAGAGCGCTTGCTTCATAAGCAAGAGGTTCTGAGTTCGATCCCCACCACGCCCCTGGTAATACTGCACTCAACTTGTTTCTCCGCATAGCAGCCTTGTTTGTCAAGGTTCAAGTTTCTGAATTATAGAGTTGAGAGAGAGTAATAACCACTATTAAGTAGCCTCCTCATCTGTATTGGCCTTCTAGGCCTTAAATTTTACACTTGAATTAAACTATTTTATTGAATTAATTACTTTTAAAAATAATTAAAAGTTAAAGTTATTTAATATCGATAAATTTAGAGTTTTACAGCTATTTTACTACGTCCCTGTTAAACATTCTAAGTCGAGTGTACAACAATGACAGAATTTTGGTAATCAAAATAGTATTATACTACATTATTTTTTGGCTTTATATACCTATCGGCTGATCCCTAATCTTAACTTTTAAATAAGGGATCGTCCATAAATTATGCAACGACAAATTTCACTAATGAACAAAACAAAAAAGATCAAAATTATTCCTCGCAGAGTCATATGTTAAATAAAAAATAAAAATAGCTCATTAAGTTTAATGAAAATCACCACCTAAAAGAACTGATGATCTCCTTCTTCTTTTTTAAAAATAAAATTTAGCATTGTGTAATTTATGAACGATCCCTTAACTTTTTATAGTCTATAGTTTTTAATGGCCTATGATCTTCTTAGTTCTGCTATTTGGATAGCAATGCAAACGTCTGTAAGTGTAAACGTCTTTAGCATATGTTGAGTTTGCAGGCAGTACATCGAACTATCGGGTAATAATAAATTCATTAAAATGAGAAAACTTTTAAATTTTATTGTAACAATTAGAAATCTTTTTTGCTATAAATATTGCTATTTTTATTATAGATATATACTATTATAAAATTGTTGCTAGAAATATTGCTAGAAATACAGCAAGATTGAAAAATTTCAATCTTGCTGTATTTGTCTTTAATCCTCCAAAACAACCCTGATAAGCTATTAATGATATGTGATACCACTGAGCTATCAATGATATGCAGTTAAGAGAAAAACAAATGCTGAAAGGGTGTACATGTTAGTTTTTTTGCTCTTAAAGCAATTTTTTAAAATGAGTTATTTTACGTAAAAATAATATAGTAAACAAATCAGCTAGTATAGATATTTAGATGATATAATAATAAATAATAAAATAACAATAGAAAATAAGTAAATAAAGTGTTTTTATTTAGTATTTTTATTATTTTTATTTTATAGGTGGTAGGATGGAGTGCATCTATATTGTAATTGTTATAATGTAGCTCTTTACTTGGATGTTAAGGTAGGGTTTTATCCATATGAATATTATTTTTCCATACAAGTATTATATTAAAGAAGACATTTATATTAATATGGAAAAACCCCTACTTAACACTCATGTAAGAAGCTACATTATAACAATAACAATATAAATGTACTCCATCAAGTCACCTATGAAATTAAAAAAAGAAGACCTTTTGAAAAAAACTTTACTTATTTTCTAATGTTATTTTGTTTCGAACCTTTACAATCTATATTATATTTCTATATATATTCCATATGAATATTATATTAATTAAAGAAGGCTTTTATATTTATATGGAAAAAACCCTACTTAATACTTATGTAAGGAGCTACGTTATAACAATAATAATATAATTGCAGGTTTGGCGATTTTATGTCATAATATGACCACGCAAATACTATTGGATTTTACTTAACTTGACCACAGCTGTTATATGTTTTGAAAATATGTATTAAAAAAGCGATAAAAAAATTATCTTAACTTAACTATAAAGACACTTAAAAAAAAATTATTGTAAAAGAAGCAAATAAATCTTTGTAAAAAAAGTAATGAAAAACAAAATAAAAATAACGTAATAAAACTAAAATAACAAAAATAGAATTAAAACATAACTAAAATAAATAATAAACTATAACAATAAGATTATCTAAATTACGTTTGGAATAAATAACTTTGAATCTTTACTAATGTTTTTATGATATAATAGTATGCGAAACCCTTTTTAAATATAGTAACAAATTACAACTGACGATAGTTTAATAAATGCTCACGTTTAAAAGTTTAAAACACGTTTAAAAGATTCTAAAGAATTCTTCGCACTTAATAAATCGTTTATTTAAAAAATTGATATAATTTTTTTTTTGAATTTAAAAACATTTATAATAAAAAATTGTATATTACTCATTAATGTTTTTATGAAAAATCATTAGCAGTGATTTGTTACTTTATTTAAATGCTTTTCAATAATATGAAAACGTAAGTAAAGATCAAAGTTACTTAATTCAAACAGATTTCAAATAAGTTTGTCTTTTTTTCTCTCCTCAACAAATAATTCTTATATAAAGTTTATTAAAGAAATCTTCGCTCTTTAAACTCAACGTTTATAAAAATTTTTTTTTTAATTTTTATCTTTTTTATTTTTACTTAAAAAAAACAAACTTATATAATTAAATAGTATAAATAAAAGTTGTACAACTTTCAATGATACTTTATTTAAAATCATTAGCTACTTTATTTAAAAGCCTTTTGCTAATATAAAAATGTTAGTAAAGATAAACCTGTCGAAGTTATTTATTTTTAATGTAATTAACCGTTTAATTCCCAGTGGTGCCATATGGCATCATTGACTTAACATAGCTAAAATAGGTAGTTTGCTAACCATGCGGAGGAAATAACTATGATTGTTTGCAAAGATTGTGTTAAAACACTACTTTACTCATAAACACAAAGGTTTTTCCCACATGGTTTGCATAATGCCTATTTTTTCTGTATGAAGTCAAAGATGCCATGTGACGTCACTTGAATATAAAGGGTTAAAAAGCAATTTTTTTAGCGCATTTGTTAAAAACCGTGGTTACATCGTCAAAAAAAAAAATTATTTGTGTGGTCATATAAAGTCTTGAAATCGCAGGCCTTCCTGGCTAAGCCTGATTTAATTGTACTCCATCATATCACCTATGAAATCAAAAAAAAAAAAAGAGACCTTATGAAAAAAACTTTAATTACTTATTTTCTATTGTTATTTTATTTTGCACCTTTACAATCTATATTGTATTTATATATTTAATTATCATGTATTAATAAAATTCTTTGTTAACCTTTTTACAGTCCCATTTTTTTTTAAAAAAACAGTTGCGATTAGTCCAGCTTTTTTTTTTGAAGTGGTCTCTAAATGTCCCGTATTTTTAAATTCATCGTGTTTTTTTACTAATAGAATAAAAAATGTTTTTACTATTTTTAACATTATTAAATACTACAATATTATTATTCAAGTTTAAGAATATATAAATCATACTACATAAACATAAAATTTTGAAAATGTATTCACTAATATTCATTTTTTGTCTGATAATTGTAAAAAGCATGTAGCTGCAAAAAGTCCAACATCACATTCTACACATTCATATCCTGAACCTTTTTGAATATTGTGTTTGTAACATACCGCACACCATCTTTGAGCATTTATCTTTTATTATCATTTTCAATAATCATTCATCAAATATATCTTTTCATTATTGATTCATCAAATGTATAAAGTTCTATCTTTTCGTGAGTAAATGTTTACTTTTTGATAATTATTTTTGCACTGAAAGAACTTCCTTATTTTTCATATTTAAAATTAAATTGAAGATTTTTAAAAAACAATTATTGAAACAAAAGCTCTGTAATTATCTAATAATAACTTTTGTGACAAGTAGATGTATAATTACTGATGAACAAGAAGGAAATATAAAAAGATGCACAAAACTGTAATATTACGGCATGGACATTTAGAAACCACTTTTAGTTTGCTTAATATTACAGCATGGACTGTTAACAGGTTAATAAACTATGCAAAAATTTAATTGTAACTAAACTTCTTATATATACAGGGTTATAAATCATTTTTTTACCTGATGATGTCTATAAATAATGATATAAATAATGTTGTACTAAAGTTTTCAAAAGATTCTACTTTTAATAAAAATGAAAAAAAAATCACTTAAAATTTTTTTTATAGTTATAAAACTTATCAATTGATAAATCTTTTATCACTTGAAAAAATATAAATGACATTTATGCCACTAAAGAAAATAAAACATATGTCACTAAAGAAAAATAAAACATATATGTCACTAAAGAAAATAAAACATTTATGCCACTAAAGAATTTAATGTAAATTACTATATGATGGTTATAATAAATAATATATAATATATAATTCTTATATAAAGTTTATTAAAGAAATCTTCGCTCTTTAAACTCAACGTTTATAAAAAATTTTTTTTTTAATTTTTATCTTTTTTATTTTTACTTAAAAAAAACAAACTTATATAATTAAATAGTATAAATAAAAGTTGTACAACTTTCAATGATACTTTATTTAAAATCATTAGCTACTTTATTTAAAAGCCTTTTGCTAATATAAAAATGTTAGTAAAGATAAACCTGTCGAAGTTATTTATTTTTAATGTAATTAACCGTTTAATTCCCAGTGGTGCCATATGGCATCATTGACTTAACATAGCTAAAATAGGTAGTTTGCTAACCATGCGGAGGAAATAACTATGATTGTTTGCAAAGATTGTGTTAAAACACTACTTTACTCATAAACACAAAGGTTTTTCCCACATGGTTTGCATAATGCCTATTTTTTCTGTATGAAGTCAAAGATGCCATGTGACGTCACTTGAATATAAAGGGTTAAAAAGCAATTTTTTTAGCGCATTTGTTAAAAACCGTGGTTACATCGTCAAAAAAAAAAATTATTTGTGTGGTCATATAAAGTCTTGAAATCGCAGGCCTTCCTGGCTAAGCCTGATTTAATTGTACTCCATCATATCACCTATGAAATCAAAAAAAAAAAAAGAGACCTTATGAAAAAAACTTTAATTACTTATTTTCTATTGTTATTTTATTTTGCACCTTTACAATCTATATTGTATTTATATATTTAATTATCATGTATTAATAAAATTCTTTGTTAACCTTTTTACAGTCCCATTTTTTTTTAAAAAAACAGTTGCGATTAGTCCAGCTTTTTTTTTTGAAGTGGTCTCTAAATGTCCCGTATTTTTAAATTCATCGTGTTTTTTTACTAATAGAATAAAAAATGTTTTTACTATTTTTAACATTATTAAATACTACAATATTATTATTCAAGTTTAAGAATATATAAATCATACTACATAAACATAAAATTTTGAAAATGTATTCACTAATATTCATTTTTTGTCTGATAATTGTAAAAAGCATGTAGCTGCAAAAAGTCCAACATCACATTCTACACATTCATATCCTGAACCTTTTTGAATATTGTGTTTGTAACATACCGCACACCATCTTTGAGCATTTATCTTTTATTATCATTTTCAATAATCATTCATCAAATATATCTTTTCATTATTGATTCATCAAATGTATAAAGTTCTATCTTTTCGTGAGTAAATGTTTACTTTTTGATAATTATTTTTGCACTGAAAGAACTTCCTTATTTTTCATATTTAAAATTAAATTGAAGATTTTTAAAAAACAATTATTGAAACAAAAGCTCTGTAATTATCTAATAATAACTTTTGTGACAAGTAGATGTATAATTACTGATGAACAAGAAGGAAATATAAAAAGATGCACAAAACTGTAATATTACGGCATGGACATTTAGAAACCACTTTTAGTTTGCTTAATATTACAGCATGGACTGTTAACAGGTTAATAAACTATGCAAAAATTTAATTGTAACTAAACTTCTTATATATACAGGGTTATAAATCATTTTTTTACCTGATGATGTCTATAAATAATGATATAAATAATGTTGTACTAAAGTTTTCAAAAGATTCTACTTTTAATAAAAATGAAAAAAAAATCACTTAAAATTTTTTTTATAGTTATAAAACTTATCAATTGATAAATCTTTTATCACTTGAAAAAATATAAATGACATTTATGCCACTAAAGAAAATAAAACATATGTCACTAAAGAAAAATAAAACATATATGTCACTAAAGAAAATAAAACATTTATGCCACTAAAGAATTTAATGTAAATTACTATATGATGGTTATAATAAATAATTGGTTGGTTTGTCATCATTTTATTATGTCAATGTTGATATATCTATTGATCTGTTGCTTTTTTTAAAGAGTTTTTTTCTTTTTGTTTCTTTTAATTATTACTTATTATGGTTTATTGTTTGATTTTTTAAAAAAGTTTCAGTTTTAAAATTTTTAAAGTTAAAATAATTTTAATTTTCTATTTCTATTCTGATTGATTTTGTTTAGAGTCATGTATTTGAAACAGTGATAACTTCCAGCAGAAAACAACATGTATTTGTGATTGAAAATGATGAGTTTAAAATGTTTTTTTCATGTAAGGTATACACAATATGTTAAAAATTGTTGTTCTGTTGCACTCTAAATTTTTTTTTACTTGTTGTTGGGCACATGGAAATATATCATACTTCATGATGTTGAATTGCAAGTTAAAAGATAATAGTTTTAATTGTTAATAATTGTTATTTGTATTATATATACCTAAAAATTCACTTATTTAAAATAAGTTTTTGTTTTAATTTTTGAAATTTAAATTACATTATAAAGGAAAATTAAAAAATTATTATTGTAGATAAAAAATCAATTTTGTGTTAACATCAAAAAAATCTTTTTATAAAAAAAGATTTTTTTTTCAGTTGTGCAGATCATTTTTTAGTTCATAAAATATTTCTTACTTAGAATAAAGTGGAACTAGATTTTTGGGTAAAAGGATGCGAAGGTATAAAATATTACTGGGAGAGAAAACGAGAGGCTCATGAGAGAAAACATTTTTTATCTAATCAAGTTAAGGTTTGAAATTGTTGCTGTTTTATTTTATTTTTACTATATTTAATATATAATAGTTTATTTAATCATTATAATTTATATAAAATATGTTAACTAAGTACCTAATTGCATTTATAAATGTTAACTGAACAGTCAAATACATAAAACTATTGACCAATTGGATAGCATTTTTTTGATCCATATACAAAATGGGTTGAAATAGTAAAAAAAATTAACTTTTGCAATATTTTTACATATCATTGCTAAACACATATCACTGGAACAACATTGGATTTGTATCAGAAAAAACAGCTAATGTTTGTAATCGTTTTACATACATAGGCCCACAGTAGATCATTTCAGTTCACTGTACTCTAGTTAGGTTTAAAATGTTTTTAAATTTCACACATTCTCCTTATAAACGTTCATTATAATAAAAAATACTTTTTTCATAATATATAAGGCCACTACAGTTGAGAAGGCTACTCCTAATTTTTTTTCAATATTATGTTTTTATCTCGCTCAACCCTATAAATTCAATGCACTTTGTGTTTGTCAGTTGTAGTGTTTTTGTTCTTGTGTTGTTTAAAGGGCATTTAAATTCTTGTGTTTTGTATTTGTAGGGTTGAGAAATAAAGCCATTACAGTTTTTAGGGTTGAAATTTAAGGCTGCTGCTCAGAATAGCAAGTTGTACATGGAACTACCGGGGAAGTGGCAGGGTTCAAATATACTTCACATATTTCAAAATTTTTTCGATGAGTTTTTTTTATTTTTGTAACCTTTTCATTGGTTCTATAATAAATTAGTTATAAATAAAAATAAAAAATAAAAATATAAAATTATTTTTAATGTTGTAATATAAAAGTCTTTTTTTCAAATCACAAAATTTCAAATGATCGCATAGAGGTGACCAGCAGAGCTGTTCAATCATGTAGACATAAGAGAGGTGATTCTAAGATTTTTATATCAGATTATAGAGCAGATTGTAGATTGTAGAGCAGATTGTAGATTGTAGAGCAGATTGTCGATTCTAAGAGCAGATTGTTGATTCTAAGAGCAGATTGTAGATTCTAAGAGCAGATTGTAGATTGTACATAGGAGAGGTGATTCTAAGAGCAGATTGTAGATTGTAGATTGTACATAGGAGAGGTGATTCTAAGAGCAGATTGTAGATGAGAATTGCATTAAGAATCCAAAAGTAAGTACTGAAATTTATTTTAAGTAAAAAAAAAAATCACTAATTTTTTCAATTGTGCGTGTGATACTCTATATGTCTACATTTATCTTATATATGATATATGTCTATGTTTATCTTATATATGATATATGCCTATGTTTATCTTATATATAATATATGTCTATGTTTACATATTTTATTTACATTGAGAAAGCTTATTTTTAATTTTATTCACATTTAGAAAACTTGTGTGTTGAATATTGATGAAGATTCATGCGAAGGGTTAGTTGTAATACTTTTAATAGTGAAAGTTTTTATTCTTCATCTGAGTCTTGGAGTCTCATTGTCTGCTTAATAACTGTTGATATTTTTATAATAAGTGATTAACTTCAATGTATATATCCAAATTTAAGCTTAGATATATATTTATTACATCAAAATTTTTTTTAGTGCCCTAATTATATCTTATAATTTAATTTAAAAAAAAGTTAAGAAATACTAAAAGAAAAAATAATTTGTTTAAAAGTTTCATTAATTTATTAAATAACAGTAATATTAAATTAATTTAAAAAATAAATGTTTTCTTATTTAGAATTAAAAATTTTTTGGATTCTGGACAAGGATAGTCCACAGTCCACACTCTTGACCATCCCATTAAAAAATATCTGGGTGCATTTATAACACCTGTTTTACTATTATCATTTGTAAAAAATGTACACATAAAACATATATAGAGTAAATTTAATAAAAAATGTTATTCGAAGCTCTTCTTAAATATGAACATCTTACTGTATTCAAGACCCCTCACTCTAGTGCTAAACAAGAAAGGCCTAGTTACAGTTGATGTATTGTAAAGTGCTATTTAAAAGCTGTTGAAAAAATTCAAGAGTTGTGTTTAACTAACTAACTGTAACTGGGTTTAACTCTAGTCATTATCATGGATCTCTTTTAAGTTTAAAAAAAAAAATTATAAACTATTCGCTGTTTTTTTAATTTAAATATTAAATATTTAAAAATTAAATAACACTATCATTTGTCATTCTACTTCAATGCGTTTAAATGTTTTGTTATGTTTTCTTTATATTTAATAAAAAAATTTTGACTTATATTTGATAAAAATTGGTAATATGAAGATGAAGTTGAATTTTTTAATTTAAGGTTATCTTCATTTTTATATTTTCTACTTCTTATTGGCTGTTTCAGCTGCACAATATATCATCCATACTATATATCATTTAAAATACACTTTATTACAATTTCAGTTACTACAGCAACTGGCTCCAAATATTCTATTGGATTTTTTCGGTTTAGGGATATAAAATCTCTAAAATTTAACTTTTTTTTTTCAATTTTTATTCCAAATTTTAATAAAAACTTTAAATTTAACAAGCTTTAAGTTTTTAAATCATACATTAACTTTTAATTTTATTTACAGTGTTACAATCCCATTCCATTTATCTAATGGAAGTGTTGTTAATGTTAAGATGAACAAAGATACATTGTATGAAGAATTTAGTAAATATTCAAATGAAAAATTGTTGTGTAATATAAATTCAAAAATATGCTATGTAGATAATGATGGCACAGGTAATTTGCTGACTTTTTTTATTTTGTATATTAAAAATATTGTAAATACTCATCATCACCATCATCTTTATCATCATCATCATTATTATCTTCATCTTCAACATCATACCAGATGAAAAGTCTATTGGATAACTTCTTAATATAATTACAATGAATAAAACTTTTTTGTTTAGTAAAGCTTGCAAACGAATCAAGTAAAATATGTCAGGAATTCATTAAGAGTTATTTTATTGTAGAGCCTGGGTACAAGGTAAAGTTTTTGTTTGTTTCATTATTATTAGCAAATACAATAAGATCTTGTTTTTTTTATTTTAAGTTTTGTTTAGAAAATCAGTTATAAAAAATATACTTGTATATCTATGCAGATAGTTTTTATGTTCTTTAAGCAGCTGTTCTTTAATTATTTTGTGTTTTGTGTTCTTTAACAGTATTAGCAGTATTTTTATTGTGTTCTTTAACATAATTATTGTGTTCTTTAATAGAGTTATTGTGTTCTTTAACAGTATTAAAAGTATTACTATTGTTTTTTTAACAGGATTAACATTATTATTATTGTGTTCTCTAACAATATAGCTCATTTTTCTTTCAAGTGATTTTGATTTGTTTGTCTATGAATCATCTTGTTTAGGATTTTTTTTTTTAGGTTATTTTTGTTGTATTTTTTTCAGGTAGTTGTTATGTACTTTGAAAATGATTCATTTGAGGAGTACGTTCTTAATAAAAAGATGTCTACAAAAGAAGTATGTTTAAATAGCTTACTACTTTTTTTATTTATTTTTTATTTTTCTCTGGTTTTACTAAATAAAAGCTACTTTATAAGGTTCTAGATTGTTCTCTAGTAAAAGATGCAGTAAGACTTCATGGAATAAATAATGCTGGCTTATTCTTTCGTAGAGCAAGTTCTGATAGTAAGTTGTAATAATTATAATTTATAATTATTGTAATAATAATTGAAAGTTTTATAAGTAAAGTATTGATTTCTGCTTCTCTTTCTTATTGGAGTACGTATCTTCAATGTAATTGAACTTTAATTGGATTTTAATGAGCGATGCGGAAGTAAAATGTTTTACATGTAAATGAAGTTTAACAATCGTTTACAATGTTAGTATACAATAATATGTTACCATAAGTGAACAATGTTTAACAATAGTTTTTTAAATAATAAAATACTACTACTACTACAATACAATTTCAAAAAATGAAGATTTATACAAAAAAAAAATTATGCTGAAGCCCTATATTGTCTGATGGACATCAAACAAATATATTGTTAAAATAGCATATGCTGAATTTACTTTAATTATAATATTATCTTGTTCCCGAATCTAGAGTCATCTAAAATGTTTAAATCATCTAAAATATCTCTCCTTCTTTTGCTCTCTCTTTTAATTTTTCTTTCGTTCTTAAAGCAGTATTTTATATTACTCATTGAAATATTTTGAAGGCTAGTGTTGGAATTTCTTTTTTTTTTTTCTTTTTGCATTTGTATTTCATATTTTTAATTGCTTTAATAAAAAAGTTATTTTAAATTTAGTTTAATATATGCTTCTTTCTCACAAATTGCTTCCTCTCTAAAAAAAATTTTCTTTTATCTTGATAACTTGTTAGACACCTTCAGAGATTAAGGTTGGTGCATGTGCGCCTCAATAAAGCTAAGATTGGTGTAAATAGCACAAAATAGTTTATGATATCCCTTTTACAAAAAAAAAAAAAAAAGTGAGAATAAATATATATTGTAAAAATATGGAATATTTTGAATTTTATAAATATATTATAGTTCAATAATCATGATTCTCTATGTAAAAATGCTATGAATGTGAAAATGAAAATACAAAAATATAGCTGGGGCTGGGTTTGTGACCGGGGCTGCATAAACATTGATACCTGCTGCCTTTTTTTTCCTTTTTTTCTTTTCCAGTAACTTTTGGAGTACTGCAAGGTTATATCCTTTAGGAGCAAGGTCTTCCTGTATTGTTTTTTATCTTCAATAACAATCTTCTTGACAATCTTACATCTATTCGATCTATTTCAAGTTGATCTATTTGCTGACCACTGAAGTTTATATTCTTTTCTTGAGAAAAAGTCTTCACTTTTTAATTGCTAAAAACAACCAGCCAATCTTTATTATAATTTCTCTTATAATATTATCTTGTAACAACTTGGGGCATGCAGTGGCTTTTTATTTATTTTTTTTATTTGGGGATTTTTATTTACTATCTCTACAACTATCACAATATCGTGGACATTCCTAAATAGGCAAATAAAAACCCTCTCACATTCAGACAAAGTCCCAAAGCACATTGTAAATGAGGTTGGACCTGCTTTATCTACCAAGCTTAAGCCACTATCCTATTGTTGGAAGGTTGCATTTTTTTTTTTTTCTACAAATAATATAATGGTTGCAGTCAAACAAGCTATCATCTCTAGTTCGATAAACCAAAACTCATTCTTCCTTGGCTTATCATCCAGCTAAGTCACATCTTTATATTGTATCTATCCTTCCATGCTATAGAAATTTTTATTTATCTAGTTTTTTTCCTTAGATATCAACTAAACCTCTTAACTTTTACCTGTCTTCATATTTTTAAGTCTTTAGTTAAACCTTTTAAATATTTAGTTAACCGTTTCCTTTCTCTTTAGTCTTATCCTTTTTTTTTCCACTAACTCATAACTTAATAATGGTTGTTTTCAATATATATATATATATATATATATATATATATATATATATATATATATATATATATATATATATATATATATATATATATATATATATATATATATATATATATATAAATATATATATATATATATATATATATATATATATATATATATATATATATATATATATATATATATATATTCATATACACTCTAAAATCCCCAAAAATGGCTTAAACTTAGTTAAAAAATATAACTTAAAAAAGATGCAGAGGATCAAGAGAGTAAAGAATTAATCAAAAACTTAATACTATTGAAACAGAAACAATTGGTACAATTTTTGTTGTTGAAATAACAATTAATATAATCATTTTAAATAGTTTTTTCATTTAAACTAAGCTTTGAAATAAAAGTAGATAATATGATACTCTTAGTATAAAATGTGTTTACAGGCCTTAAAAGCTGCCTGCTAAAAAATAATAAATTTCATTTTGAATGTGTTCTTTTATTTAAATATTAAAAGTTTTGTAAACAATGTATTTTAAAAAATTTATAATTGTTAAAAAATATACAGGAAATTGGTTTAAGTCAAAATTACCTATCTATAAAATAGTTATGTATATTATTATTTGTTTTGATCAGCTTATATACATTTATATTATATTAATATATTATTTATATTATATTGAATATACATTTCAATTATTAACTTAAAACCCTTCAAAAATTACAATTGTGGAATGATAGAAATGCAGTGCCAGATCAAGGTGGAAGGGGGCTATAGCCCCAGGCTCCACAAATTTAGGGGCCCCCAAAAATTTTAGAGAACTTTTTTTTTTTTGAAGTCATTTTTAGGCTCTGGCCCATAAAAAGGCCTCCAAAAACAAAAATAGCCCTGGGCCCCAACAGGTCTTAACCCGCCACTGTAGAAACAATAATTTAAAATTTTTTTAAAGATATCATTTTATTAAATTTTAGACTTTTTACTATGTGCAAATGACGACAAGCCAATTTTATTTTTATACTGTAAGTTAATTTAAATGATATTTTAGTTTTAATTTGATATATTACTTATTTCCTTTATCTATAAATTTACATTTTTCTTATTTTAGGCGAACCTGAAAGTTATTCTCCTAATGGTTAGTATTGTTTTGAGTCTAGGGCAGAAACTAATTAATAAATAATAATACTCTCAGAAGATATTTTTGCTATCATAAATAAAATAAAAATGTGTTAAACAAAGGTTAGATTTTAGAGCACTGTTCCATTTTGTATTTTTTTTTTAAATATATTTTTTTTTATAAAAATCTAGGAATAAATTTTTTTTTGAATATGTTACAGCTGGTTATTAGTTTGATAAATATTTTGTTTAACATTTTGCACCCTTACATTTTTTAACACTGGTGATCAGGTTTAAAATAAAAACCTTTTCAAATCTAAGGACTATATTAACTGATCATTTAGTTAAAAGCTGCAATTATCTCCTTCCAGAATGAACTCTGTAGTAGATTGGTTTATAAATATCAGAATAGGATTGTCAGAATGTGCAAACGGTACAATGTGAGTCTCAGAACAATCTTACGTTTATATGTCACAGCCAAACATAGACAAGCAGTCTGCAGTTTAATATTCAACACTATTTGTATGAATAGATACATCATTTAAAATTTATTCCACATTCATTCATTATTCTCAGTATTATTACACAAACCTTGTTAACCATAATAGTAAAAAATTAAAAATAAAAAGTATTTTTAGATCTTCTACATATGTTACATAAATTTATTGTTAAAATATACTATTTTAAACAAATGCAGTCTGTTAACATTCCAATATGATATTGACTAAAATAATTTATATTTAAAAAATATGCTATTTTCTTTGGAGATGCGTTATCCAGAAATTAATGGTCATTAAGTGTTTAGTTAACATTAAATCAAACAAGTTTTGAACATAATGTTACTAGAATCCTTTCAATCTGATTGGGAAAGGTACTCTAATCATTAAAATTAAAAAAAAAAAAAAAGAGATGATAGTAATTACGTAATAGTTATAGCTTTAGTAATAGTAAACATATTTGAATTTACTCATAATCACTATCATATCATCATAATCACTAATCATAAACATTTAAAAAAAAAGAGATCTGGACTATAGTAATAGTAAACATTTGAGTTTTCTCATAATCATATCATCATAATCACTAATCATAAACATTTAAAAAAAAGAGATCTGGGCTTTGTAATAGTTGATTGGTTGTATAAATTCTTTTTCACCAATTTTGAATTTCACAACTCTTACACATCCATCTTTACCTTCAAAGACCATCTTTACTTTCAAAGACTTCTACCAAGCGGCCAATGTCCTCTAGATGTATCTAGAGAAATTACTAACACAATGTCATCAGTTTTTATTTTGCGTTTTTCTTGATTTCATTTATATCTTTTAGATAAAGATGGAAGCCATTCTCGCATCTACCATTTCCAAAAATGACATAATAGTTCTTGCACTTGGTGCCAGCGCTTTTTAGGATGATAGCCTTTAGATTGAACTTAGTTAGGTGCGAATTGTCCACCAACTTGCCCAATCAAAAAATGATTGGAATTAATGGAATATCATCTTTTATATTGGCACTCTGATATGTTAGTGGGAGAGAATTCAATAAACTCTCAGCACCTGTAAATGCTGTACAGAGTTCTTCATTTGTAATATTGGCTTTTTTGAGTATCCCAGTCACTGCACATTTGACAGTCTTGACCATTATTTCAAATACACCGCCAAGATGAGGTCCTAGCAGAGCATTAAAGTGCCACTTGATTCCTTTATCAGCTCTAGAGTTAGTACTTTTATCCTTATCAAAGTCGTTGACAATTTAGCTTATTTCTCAACATCCTCCAACAAAATTTGTTCCATTGCCAGTTAAAACTTCTAATGGTAATTCTCTTTTGTTCACCATTCGATAAAAGGAATTGAGGAATGAATTTGTATCTAGATTATAAGCCATCTCAATATCTACTGCTCGAGATAGTAAACAGGTAAACAAGCACAAGTGTCTCTTTTGTCGTATCGTCCCTCTACCTTGCATAGTAAGAAATGGACCAGCAAAATCGATACCAATTCTAGCAAACGCACGTAGTGGTTCTTTAAAGCACATTGCTAGTAAAGGGGCTATCAGCTGTTGAGCAGGTTTACATCTTAATTTACATTTGTTGCATTTTGCTTCTGCATCTCGGATTTCTTCTCATTCTTGTATTACCCAATATTGTTCTAAAAGTTTTGTTAATAATTGATTTGTTCCCAACACATGAATAGCTTTATCATGGTAATGTTTAACAATCAATTTTGTTATTGTATGTCCTCTCAGCAAAATGAATGGATGCTTAACATCGTAGGGTAAGTAATGGGCATTTTGCAATCGACTACAAGATCGCAATAATCCGTCTTCGATAATTTGCGGATTTAAAGAAATGATTTTGCTTGATATTAATATCGGTTTTCCTTTTTCATTGTTGCTATATTCTTCTTTAAAGCTTTCTTTTTGAGCTTTATCTATGATTACTTTTTCGCTTTCATGATATTCATCAGCTGTTATATCACCCTTTTTATGAAACTCTGTTTCAAATCGACAATTTCCTATAAACCGATGGATCCACCTTTATCCTGACAAGTTTTTTTCCAACATGAGAACTTGTTTATATCAAGCAATTGCTTTGTTACTTCAGTAGATAATGCAAAATTCATTAATACTGGATTTTTCTTTACTTCAATTGAATCCTCTTGTGTGACTTCAATGTGATTCTGTGGCTATTTTTCTTCTAAAGAATTAAGGAAACTTGGTCTATGCCACCATACATTATTACTTTCTAATTCTTTAACTGTTGTTCGTCTTGTTAGTAAATCAGCTACATTAGTTTTTGTTGGTATGTATCTCCATTGTTTTAGTTCAGTCTTTGATTGAATGAATCCAACGCGGTTGGCAACAAATGGTTTCAACTTTCGACTATTACACCATATAGTTACGTCCTTTGTTTCCAGCTTCAATGCTTTGACAATCTTCTCTGCAAGCAGTAAACCGAGGACAGCTCCAAGTAACTCAAGCCTTGGTATACTTATAGATTGCAATGGGCTTACTCGGGCTTTTGACATTATGATCACACAGGTCACTTCTCCTGTATCATATAAACATTGTTGATAAGCAACAGCACCATAAGCTTTACAAGATGCATCCGTAAAAACATGGATTGACCTATTTGTAACTATTGAAGTTGTTTGTAAACATCTGGGAATGTTTATTTTTGGGAGATCGTTTAGTTCTTGAAACCATTGATCAATATTATTTACAATCCTATCCGGAATTGCATTATCCCACGCAATTCAATCAATCCACAATTTTCGCATAATTATTTTGATTCAAATAATATATGGTGCTAAAAAATCCAATGGATCGAACAACATTGCCATTTGTTTAAGCAAAATTGGTTTTGTATATACCTTATTTTCTTCGGTTGCAACAGAATGAAAACTAATTAATTCAGGTTTTGCTTTCCAGACAACTCCAAGTGTTTTCATTGCAGGCAATTCTCCAGAATCTAAATTTATATGTTCTGCACGATCATTTTCTGATGTTATTTTAAGAACTTCAATCGAGTTTGAAAGCCACTTTCGTGCAAACATTCTTGCTGAACCCCATAGTAGCGTGAGTTCCTTGTATAATTGAATTCCTACTTTTTCATCAATTACAGAAGTTATTGTGTCGTCCATGTAAGTTGCTTCGAGAACAGCTTCAGAAGCCAAAGGAAATTTTTGTGCATACTTTTTTGCATGTTCTTGCATTACAAATTGAGCCATAAAAGGCGCTGATTTGATTCTAAATACCAGTCAATTAAATTGAAATACCTCCGGCTTGGCAGTTAGATCTAGGTTTCTCCATAAAATTTGTTGGTACCTTTGGTCATCTTTATGTATTCCATTTTTAAAATACATTTCTGCTATATTACAAGCTAAAGCCACTGGGTAGTTTCGGAATCTCAGCAAAACAGTCACAAGCTTTTGTTGAAATTTTTGACCTTGATAAATAACATTATTAATTGGTTTACCATTATATTTTGCAGATCCATCAAACACAATTCTGACTTTTGTAGTTGATTTATCACGACGAAGAATTGGAAAATGTGATAAATATCAACCATCTCTAAGATCCCTTTTATTAATTTTCTCCAAGTATCCCTTTTCTTCATACTGCCTAATAATATAATTGTACTCTTCTCCGAGACTTTTATTTTTCATTAGGCGTTTTTCAGTGTTATGTAATCTGTTTTACGCCATTGTATAATTATTGTCCAAATGTCTATTACCTTTCCATGGTAATTTTAGCTCATATCTTCCATTCTCAGTTTTTAGCGAATTAGTTATTATATTAAGGGCGGTAGAGTCTTCTGGGCTTGTCATTGTTTTTCTGAATTGCATCTCTTCGTCGCCTTCAATTTCCCATATTTTTTTAATGGTGTTGTTTGCATCTTCTATTTCCTTTGTACTAGGTATTATTTTCGTAAAATGGGTTTGAAGGGAACCACCAACACATGTCCATCCAAGCGGCATGAGTCAAGTCACTGGTTTATTTAATCCTCCTTTTACTTCCTTAATTGCACAGTGCAGCTCAGTGTAAACCACACCGATTAGTTTTGGTCCAATATTTGGGAATTCAATTTTTCTTAGATGTTTCAAACTTTTTGTCAAATTTGCCCAATTAACTGCTTTTAAGTTTCCAGTTACATTATTAACTGTAAAAGCTTCTACCATAATTTTTGATTCTCGATTCAACAATTCCAACTGAAATTCTACCAGCATCTTTTCGAATGAATCATTTTTTCATTTATCATGTTTACAGTTACCTTTTCGGTTTTACAATGCAGTGACAACTCAGCCACTACATCAGAGTTCAAATATGTCTTGGTACTTCGATCGTCAAGCAATGTGTTTACCACAACTTTTTTTATATCCATTACGAAGAATAACTGGCACCGTTCCAAGAGATATGTAGTTCATTACGTGATTTAAATGAAATTGGATGTTCGACGTGTGAGAATTTTCTAATATCCTGTCTTTTTTTTTGAAGAAATTGTGTTTATTTTGATGTCTTTTTTTGTGAAGCAAACGATTATGGGTATCTGTACAGCCGTGAATCCCACAAATTCCTGTGTTCCTGCATTTTTTTAACGAATGGTTAGAACTCAAACATCTTTTCTTTTTTTGATCACTGTTACCAAAGTAAGAATTTCCTTCGTGCGCTTTGCTACCAATAGTTTTTTTTAAACCATGTAGAGCTTCCATTGCTGCAATTTGAAAATCTGCTCTTTAACAATAAACTTTTTTAGATTTTCAACATTTTCGTTTAATTTGTTTTCATACACCCATCGTTTGTATCTAATTAACATTATTTCAGGAACTTTTTTTTTGCAGTTGATGGTACAATGTCCCATCGCCAAGTTCTTCTGTTCGATTTGCTTCTTTTAAGTTTTTTACAGCCACATCTAACAAATCCAAAAACTTTTCAAAGTTTTTTGGATTATTTTCCCTAATAGCTTTAAAGATGTTCAATTCATCCAAATACATAAGGACTTTTCTCCTTGTTCCGCCATATTTTCTTTCAAGTCTTTCTTTCGCAGCTTCATAAGCAAATGGCGAGTGCCTAAGTCCTTCAATTGCTTTTAATGCGTCTCCACATAAATATTGACGTAACTGAATTAATTTATACTCAGTAGTCGCTGGGGCTTGATCAATACATCCGTAGAACGAAGCTTTCCAATTTTCGTAGTTTTTTTTATTGCCATTAAACATTGGTATAGAGACGCATTTTAGTTGTTTCCATAAATCATGTCCAATTTTTGCAGTCTTTTGATCCAAATCAATTATTTCATTTTTCATTTTACGCATCATATGTGTTGATTTGATTAGTTTAATTTCGCTACTGCCATTTTCTTCTTTATTATCTTCATACTGGTCTTTTTTTTTTTGAGTACTTAACCATTGATAACATTGCTTTTTTGTTTCCATTTTAGGTTCTTTTTGCCTCCTTTGATGTTTTAAACTTGATCTTATACTTCCGTTGTGCAATATCCATTCGTTTACATGTTCCATAATTTCCGCAAATTCGTGGTTTAGTTTTTCAATTTCTTTATTGAGTTTTACTACATTTTCTTTTGATTCCGAAGTTTGTATTTCTTTGATAATTCAACCATTATCTTGAGAGCTTCTTTTTGAGTCTTGGTTAATTAATTACTCAATTCGCGTAACTTGTTTTTACTAGTGGATTCATTGTCTCCAATTTGCTGAATAATTTGATGTTTAGTTTGCGTAAACGAAGACTTTAGAACTATTTTATTCATGTTAAATGCAGATACTTCATTTGGAACGGTTAACTGATCTTCCATTTGGTTATTTGATTTTTTTTTTACCATTCTTCCTTGTTGAAGAAACTACCCTCTGTTACCAATTATGATCCAATGGCGATCACAAATAATACCGAATATGTATTAGAACTTATATTTTTATGATCTTAACCGTTTTTACATTAACTACATCACTTATATTCTTTATATTTTTGTATCTGAAAAACAACAACAAAACTCTATTTATACAAAAATTTCGTTCAATAACAAAAAAACCTCATTTTAATTATTAGAGTATTAGTATTCACTGATTATTTAATAAATATTCAGTAAATGAAGCTTATACAAGTTGATCTCCTTGATTTGTAATCAGTCCTTTATAATATCAACTTGTTATCAACATTCATTCATTATATGTACAAAATAAAAAACAACTTATCAATTCAACATTCATTTATTATGTGTAAACAACTTATCAATTCAATTATTCATTTATTACAGTTTATGAAACTTTTTATAATTATAAGTTTATGAAACTTTTTAAATATTTTAATTTCTGTTATGTGAAAAACTAAATAATTAAATATGCTTCAGGGTTTCTTTACATTCTGAACAAAGAAAAAGTTTTTGGACAAAACTTAGAATCTAATACATGTATCAAACCAAGTACAGTAAGTTTTTTTTACTTTAAAAGCTAAATAAAATTGATCAAATAATTTTTTTTTGTTATTTTATTTTAATTGTTAATATTATTTTTGCTTGTTTATATTTATCTTACAATTGATTATTTTTTATTGACTACAAATGAACCTGTCATTTCGAAAAAGGGCACAAGTTTATTTATTAAAAATTTTCAAAATCAACAAAAACATTTTTATTAAAATAATGTCTACGCTGGTAAAGAAACTTAACATAGAAGTAGATAAATAAAGAACTTATCTAACTTATGTAACTTATATTTTTTATAAAAAAAACATAAATCACACAAAAATTTTTAATTTAAATTTATAAACTAAAAGTTTTCTACTTGTGTCCTTTTCGAAATGACAGGTTTAAATGTATAGTAGTATACATTTGATGTATGTAATGTATAGTAATATATATATATATATATATATATATATATATATATATATATATATATATATATATATATATATTTATATATATATATATATATATAGACCAGCTCAATATTTAACAGCAATTAACTTTTAATTAACTTTTAAAAAAAAGTTCTTTTAAAGTAAAAGTTTTAAAGTAAAAGTTTTTTTAAATCTCTCAAAAGAAGTGAAGTAATATATAAGTTTCAAAAATAGTAATTGTTTTATAAAAAGTATATTAAAAAAAATTTCTATAAAAACTTGTTAAAACTATAAATATTTATACTATTAGTTAAAAAGTTATAGCGTTTATGAAATTAAATCTAAAATTATTTAAAAGTATTATGAAATGATTTTTTTTAACTTTTATACAATAAAAATTTCAAAAAAAATAGTATTATTTAAAAAATTTTATTATTAATAAAGTTTAAAATAAATTTTTAAAAAATATTAGGGACCCATTAAAAAGTGAAGTGTTTAATTAATACTAATTAAAAATTAAACTGTCCACGGTTTGCATGGATCCTGATAATGCTATCTAGCTGACCCAAGCACACCACTTATATGAGGTGATAGATTACACACCACTTATATGAGGTGATAGATTACACACCACTTATATGAGGTGATAGATTACACACCACTTATATGAGGTGATAGATTACACACCACTTATATGAGGTGATAGATTACACACCACTTATATGAGGTGATAGATTACACACCATTTATATGAGGTGATAGATTACACACCACTTATATGAGGTGATAGATTACACACCACTTATATGAGGTGATAGATTACACACCACCTATATGAGGTGATAGATTACACACCACTTATATGAGGTGATAGATTACACATTAAGGTACCCTGTGATGCAGATTTTGAGATTTTTAAATTTTGTCCGCAGAAAATAATTTAATTTAAATGTTCAAATTAAGTGAAATTTTGACTTTATAGTGCGATAATAAAAACACCTGTAGAATGAGAAACACTGCATACAATTTGATAAAAATTGGTGCAAATGTAGCATATGGCCACATCTAACTTTGGATAAAATTTCAGTCGGTTTGGTTTACTGGTTAAGAATTTATGGCAGTTTTAATTTATATTTTGTTAGTTTTTTGCTACTTATACTTAAAAACGTTACTGTTTACTGTGATATTTGATCATTATTTTCTAAATAATGATCTAATATCACAGTACATGAGTGTTCTACTATGTAATATCTACAATTTTTGTTATAATTGTTTTTTGCTAAATGTACCATTTTCATTCTAAAGACAAAAATATTGATTTGCTATTTGAAGTATTTGGAATGGCTTATGCATTGTGTTAATATCTCAGTATTTCCTAAAGTATAAACTACTGCCAAAATGCAAAAAAAGTGCTATATAAAGTACAAAATCTGGCAAAAGGACTATCAGTTAGCAAGATAAAAAAAACTTTTATGTTAAAAGAATTTTTTGGCCCTTGAAATCTTCTAAAATTCATTGACAAAATGAAGTAAAAAAATAACCCTGTTGTTGTTAAAATGTTAACCTTGTTTTTTTACATTATATTAACATCAAATAATTTCTGATTAAATTGTAAAACATGGTCTTCTTGGGTCAGCTAGGTTGGCGTAATCAGGATCTGTGCTAATCGTGTCACTAAAACACATTGTTTTGTGTCACTAAAACACATTATTTTGTGTCATTAAAACACATTATTTAAGCTTGCAAGTTTTAAACAATTTTCCTGACCACAAACCACCTCAAAACAAAAGGTAACCTATATAAAAAATTTTTAGTATCATTATTTATTATAGGTTTTTGAACTTTTCTATATCTATACAATATATATATATATATATATATATATATATATATATATATATATATATATATATATATATATATATATATATATATATATATATATATATATATATATATATAAAATATATATATATATATATATATATAATATATATATATATATATATATATATATATATATATATATATATATATATATATATATATACATAAATAAATAAAAAATAAAAAATTGATTCTTTATTATAAATGAAGTTATTTATACAAATAAAATAAATTATCCATTACATCAAACATTTACTTTACTCTGCTGCAGTAAGTTTCTTTAAGAATAGTGTATTATAGTCTTTTTCAGATAATCAATAATTGCCTCCATTGATCACAAAAGAAGCATCTACTAAACAGATGTTTTCAGTTTGGCAGTTAATCTCCTCTGGAGTAAATGGTCAGCAAAAAATATTGTTTTCTTGCTCTCTATTCATTCAATTAATTCTGATCCCAAATAAAGATACCTAAAATTATTAGCAAGGCTTTTAAAAGAATATAATCTAAAATTTATGATTTGTTTTATTTTGTTCACATTCCCGGTAAAACTTGAAGTTTAATTTTTTTTTTTTTTCTACTTATGTGTACATTTTGTTTTTATTGCTTGTGTACTTTTTATTTTAGAGCATTGTGGATCTTCTTGACTCAATGCATGGGTTTTGCTTGTGTCTCTGTTTTTATGACTAGGCAACTCATTCTATTATCCTAATGAGGGTACAGCATTATGGTTCTGAGGCCGGCTGATCATGGTTTGATCTCTCTAAAACTTTTATCTCATTCTTCATTATCAGAATCCCCCTATCATCATACCTCTTACAACTACCTTAAAGCTGACTGGGACTCTTTCCATAATTTTTTCTTGTGGTGGTCTTTGGTTAGAAATCTTTTGACTTCCTGCTGACAAATATGCTTCTTATGAAACTTCTTGGATTCAGGCTGACATGGAATCTTTTGTTCTCTCCTGATGATTCCAACTCAAGTCTCACTCTTCTCCATTGTTTGCCTCTGATTTTGCTGCTGCAATTTCCAATCGTAACTATTACCTCAATATTTATATCCAAAAGAATTCTCCAGAAAACAGTTGTATGATTGCTAGAAACCATTGTAAAAAGGTTTTGTCTAGTGCCAAAGCCACTAACTCTAACTGCCTAATAATAAGGCCACCGTTGCTATTCTCCAGTCACAAATATATTTCATCTCAAAAATTAGGCTCCAGAGACTTCTGGAGAATCTTTAACAGTGTCTATAATAAGGGCAAATCTGTTTTTTCTTTTCTCTTGTATGGTTCCAATTTTGTTACCTCATGTAAAGACAAAGCTGAATTGTTTGCAGAAGTGTTCTTTGGAGTTGTCATCTATACTTTCAAAACTATTTAACAAGTAGTTGTCAGAGTCTTATTTTCCAGCTTGCTATTTGGCGTCTGTTATCCCTATTTTCAAAACTCTGGATAGCAATCTGACTTGTCTAACTACCTCCCATTAGTTTTCTTATTATTATAAGCAAGGTTTTTGAATCTTTAATTAAACTCTTAATCTCTCATCTTAAACCTTAATCTCTCTTTTTTTTTACTTTTTTTTTAATCTTTTCTCTTATTATCTGATCATCAATATGGATTTTGAACTTCTCGTTCTACTGCTGATTTGTTAACAGTAATAAGTGATAGGTTTTATTGTGCATTAGATAGATGTGGAGAGGTTAATGCTATTGCTCTCAACATTTCTAAAGCCTTTGATAAAGTTTAGCATGCTGGTAAGATCTTTTCGTATGGTGTATTAGGTAACATCTTTAAGACTATTGAATTCTTCCTTACCAATTGTAGTATAAAAGTTGTCCTCGATGGGCAGCGCTCTTCTTCATTTCCTATAACTTCAGTGTTTCCTCAAGGTTCTATCTTTGGCTCTATACTTTTTTTAATTTATGTCAGCGATATTTTAAGGAATTCTCACATCTGGTTGAGATACAAGGTGGCATTGAATGCTGATGATATTACCATTTATTATGACTTGACAAGAAACCAACACTCTCTGATTGCTTGGATTTCACTTCTGTTACAGCATGGTGCTTTTAGTGGCTGGTAAGCTTTAACTCAGATAAAATTTAAACTCAATATTTTTCAGCTAATTGTTATTCCAGCAATCTAGATCTTCCTATATTTATGAATGGTAATGGACTCGATAAGTCATCAACTCTTTATATTTTAGGATTGACTCTTGCTTGCAATCTTTCTTGTTAACCATATAACATAGTTGGATCTTTGCTTGCAGCCATCCTCCAACCATTATCACATCATGGTAGTGTTGCCTCTCTTTCTCTTACCTATAAATACTATACTGGGCACTGTTCTAAAGAGTTAGCATCTCTTATGCCGTCTACTAAAATTCACTCTTGTGTTACTCATCATTTACTTAAGACTGATCCTTTTACTGCGACTGTGCCTAAGTACTCCAACAATTTTCATTTGTTTCGTTTTTTTCCTCAAACATCAGTTCTTTGCAATTCGTTCCCTTTATCTTGTTTTCCTGATTTATATAATTTGCTATCTTTAAAGTTGTCTGTTAATCATTATCTTTCTTAAATAATTTCATCTGGGTAAGAACTATTTATTTCATCAACTTTTTTACAGTTGAGAAAGTTGATAAGTACTTCCTCTTGTCCAAGAGCCACAGCTTCAGCAAACTTTTTTTTTAATAATTTTTCTAAGTGAACATACTTGCATTATAGTTTATCTATTTTCCAGATATTTGAACTGTCTTTTTAATATATATTTTTATATAATATGCATTTAGAACTTCCATTACAATCTCACTGCTTCTTGGAAATTTGTCCAAACTTTCTTATGAAATATTAGTTTGATTAGGATCAAGTTGTTTCTCTGCAGTATCAATTGCCACATGTTTGCTTTTGTTGTATTTGTGTTTCTGTACATATATTGTAGTTGATGTATGGTGACATGTATTGGTGATGCCATTAAAACGGGAAATTTTTAATGTTTATGGTTAGAATGAAAACATGTTTTTGGAGGACTCCATGCATCACCAAAATTCTACTGGCGAAAAGCATATATTTGTTCATCTTTTTTAAGTCTATTTGATTAAAGTTCATTCTCTTTCCACACATTATTATTGTTGGATTGCATTACCTCAAAACAATTTTTTAAACAGGTGTGTTATTTAAGGCATTGTTTAATATGGTTTTTGCTATTTACAAAAATTGTTTTAAGGATATTGTTGTTATTATTAATATAGAGTATTGCATAAGTAGTAATAATTTGGTGATTTTTTTTTAATAGATTTTGCTCAAAGTTCTAATGCAGAGTAGTTAAAAAGTATTTAATCATAAAAATTCTGCGTTCATTTAAAAAATATTATTTTAAGGTTGATGAGGTGTTTCTTGACATCAACATCTTCAAGCTAATAAATATAGAACATATTGTTTATGACTTAATGGTTTTTAAAGGATCAACAATTACCTTTGCAAAATCAAAAATTGTTTTGTTCCATACTCAATTAAAAATAAGTTTTACTTACGCAGTCCCTCTTTTTCTCAATACATATAATAAAGTATCTACTCTAATTATGCAAATGTTCAAGATCGTTACAAATAAATTAGGAAATTTTGATGGTAAAATTATATGATTAAGAATAAATTAGAGTAGGTATATGTATTAAGAAAAAGAGGGACTGCATAAAAAAACTTGTAAATAAATTAGGAAATTTTGATGGTAAAGTTTTATGACAATTGCTTACTAACTGGTTTTTCCTTAATCGTGATATCGGAGATTCTTCATTGCGTTCAATTGGCACAAGTTATTTGCTTATTATGTAAATTTAATTAATTCTCTTCTTGTTGAATATTATATTTTAGTATTTTTTATTTCAATTCATGGTCAGAAATGTTTATAATAATTTTTCACAATATTTGAACATTTTGTACCTTCAATTGTAACTTAATATTTATAGCTCACATGAGTTTTTTTATTATTATTATGTAAGAACCATCTTGTACATTTTAACATGATTATATTTTTACAAAACTTGTTGCCACTCTCAGCTAATGTGTCATTTTGTAAAAAAACTATAATGTATTTTTTTAATATTGAGTCTTATTATGTATGGATACGCCTAGGTGTCACATAACTTTTTAAAATTTTTAGATACATTACTTATGTTACTTGCAAAAAAAATCTTGTACAACTCTGTACTATTAGAAATAACTCCCATTTAAAATTGACAAAACTATATGTTTTTGTACTTTTGAACTATGATAATTAGCCAACCACACAATTTTTCTCGATTCCTCCAAAAAAAATCTCAAACAAATAAAGTTAATTAAGATGGATACGGGTTTGATTATCTGAAGTTAACAGAGTTGACAGCAATGGTATTATCTAGTAATGAACAGTATAGATTAAGAAAGCCTGTATAATTTTTCTATAAATCACACAATGACTTGATAAGACTAAGTACTTTTCTTGTATCAAACAAATATGTGGAAAGTCAATTAAAATAAAAAAATATGTAAAGAACTTTTATTTAAATATATATATATAAATATATATATATATATATATATATATATATATATATATATATATATATATATATATATATATATATATATATATATATATATATATATATATATATATATATATATATATATATATATATATATATATATATATATATATATATATATATATATAAACATCTTTTTCAAACTTTAATTATACATGGTTTTCAAATTTTTAAACATATTAAGCATTTTACTAAACAGAGTACAAATATAATGCAAAAATGCTTAAAAAACGCATTTTTTGCTTAACATTGTATATATATTTTCTTCTACTAGATCATACAACAATAAAAAAAAAATTGCATATTAGAAACACTCCCCTATGTTCATTCGGAAAAAAGACAAAAAATGATATTTAGAGGGAAATCATGGCAGGTCCAATCATCAAAAAATATATTTTAATAGTAATATTAAGGTTCAGACACAATTTAGATAATTTTTACTCACTCTGGTTAATGTTTCATATTGGTTAATGTTTCATACAAAAAATTAAATTAAAATAAGATAGATTCAGGAAGACTTGCAACTTTCAAATTTTGAATGTTATAGTTTTAATTTCTTATTAAGGTATTCCCACTTGAAGCAATTGGTTTTTTTAAAAATATTGCAAATTGCTGGAGTCTAATATATATATATATATATATATATATATATATATATATATATATATATATATATATATATATATATATATATATATATATATATATATATATATATATATATATATATATATATATATTTATATATATATATATATATATATATATATATATATATATATATATTATATATATATATATATATATATATATATATATATATATATATATATATATATATATATATATATATATATATATATATATATATATATATATATATACATACAATATGTTTATGTATGTATTTTTTTATTTATTACAACAATAGTAATATAAATATATAGAATAATAGTGAATAAATTTATCTGTTTATGTTTCTGTTAGATTTTTATATGGTTTTATTTCAGTATATTTTCTATAAATGTATTTATTTATAATTATTGTATTAAGATAAAATGATTTTTGCTTAAATTGTTTTGTTTTTTAATATGCGTAAAGCTTTGCATAAGACTTATCTTAAGATTATCAGTTAATCACATTATCAATACTGCATTGTGTTTTGCAGTATTGATAAAGACCAACATAAAAACATGTTACAATTGTTAGAGAAAAGTGGTTATCATTATTTTTTCCAAACCTATTAAAGTATAAAGTTTCTTATGTAGTTTGTGTGATGTTGTCAATGCCAGAAAACAAAAAACAAAAAAAACAAACAAAATTTTGTATGCTGTTTGTGTGAGGTTGTCGGAGAAAGAGAACAACAACAAAAAAATTATCTATATATTTTGAATTACATCTAAAGTTCAATCAATCTTCAAAAACACAATGTTCAAAAAATTGGTATTGTTTCCATGGACAAATTTGTTAGATTTCTAATTTTTATTATACTGAAACAAAACGATGTAAAAATCCAACAAAATCTGATAAGTTTATTAGTTTTTTAAACAATTGCAAAAAAACAAAACAAACGCAGCAACATCTTTTTTATTTTGATTTTTGTTTAATTTTTTAATGTTGTTTTAATAAAATTGTTCAGTTTTTAAGTATACATTTATTGTATTAATTTTAACATATTTCTGTTAGATTAACACTGGTCATGTATCAAGTCCTTCTTTTACAACAAACCCAAATACCTCTGGTTATTTTCCTGGACATAATTTTTTGTCTAAAAAAAACTCAAGTGAATTTTTAATGGAAATCACTCCTGCACAAATTCAATCCCAGAGAAGATACAATTTAAAGCATGATAATTTTTTTGTAAATGAATTGAGCATTTTAAAATCAAGGAAAGTTTCCATACCACATGAAACTGGTGGTACCTTTTGTTCAAATGAAGTGGCGTCAATCAATGAATCAAAGAGAGTTTGTATTGTAGAAGATTTTAAAGACGGCTCACAAGAGGATCTTTTTTTGAATGAAAATGATGCAACAAATAATTTTACTTCTCTAAGAATATCTTCCACTACCTGCGAAACAAATCAGAAGACTGTAAACGAAAACTCTTCTAAGACTTCAAATAGTGAAGAACACTATTCAAATGTAGAATCTGCTAATTCATCTACAATAGTTTGCTCTTCATCCATAGATTGCGAAGTCAATACTCAGCATTTGGAGATTAACGCAATCAATGACACTCTAGTTTCTGAAATTGATGTAAAAAAAAAAGAAAATATCACTAGTTCCGAATCTGCACAAACCTTTGCTCAAGCATCAATCGAAATATGCTCCCTAACCCCATCATTAAAAAACTCTGCTGGCTGTCATAATAATAATAACATAGGTAATAGTTACTATAATTAGTAATGATAATAATACTAACAATAGGCAATAATTATTACCTATTGTCATGGCCTACTATATTCACAGCCATTTGGCCGTATACAATATTTTATACATGTAATATGTAATTGTTACGTGTAATATTGTATGTGTAATATCTTACATTTTTGAGGGGGATGTTAAGAAGCTGAATTTTACTGGAAAAAATGGCTTCAGTGAATATTTTAAATAATAAGTAAATTTTATTAAACTATATAAACAAATGCTGGCATATTAGCAATTTTGTTTTTATTTTTTTCTTTGCCTCTTTTTAAATGTTTTTAAGTCATTATTGGAAACCAAATCCTTCGATAGTTTTTGTTTGTTATTAAAAAATAAACTGACAAGAATTTCCCAACTTTCATCATTTTTACAAACAAATTTGAACTTTTTGGTGCATAATTATGTAACAGATATGTTGATGATTTAATGAATGGAATTGATAAGGTTGCAATTTCATTCTCAATTAAATCCAAAGTAGCAAATACACTACAAACAAATTCTGCGAGCTGTTTGGATGGAACAAATATTCCACCACATGATAAGAGAGATGGATAAGAATTATTTTCAAGATCAATGTCTCTAGCTTTTAAATATGCTTTTCAGTTTTTGCATGTAGACTTTTTTGACAATTTTATTGCAACAGCCTGCTATAGTTGTTGCAATTTCTTGACTTATAATCACTAGAATTTTACATAATTTCCTGATGTCGGTTATCAAACAATTCATCAAGTATTGTCAAGGAAGGATGACTAACTTGTAATAGATTTTCTTCTCAGTAGTTTATATGCTTCTTAATTAAAAAACAATGTGACAAAATTCTTTCTGAATGTAAAATTTCTCTTTGACCTACAAGAAGTGTTCCTCCGCTCATTTGCCTGTATTGAAAGAACTATCTCTCGATTTGGTCACTTTGTAAATGAGCTGTCATCACGTAATCATATTCATCATATTTTATTTTAGTTTCTAAAGTTTTTGACTAAATGCACACTATCATAAAACAAATATGTCTTCTTACCATGATTCTTTGGATGATTAATAAATTACTTTGATTTAGACTTGAAAATTGTAACTATTGATGAGAATGCATTAGGGTTAGTGAAATGATTGTCTGTCACTAAAGATGTATATTGTAGAAGTAATGCATATCAAATCATCTCTGAAGAATATGGTAGCTTGCCTTGTGGCTGATAAAGCTCTATATCTTTAATTTCATCTAAAATTATGTCATGATTTTCTTATGTGTAATTTCTCATATAAGAAGGGAAATTTTCTAGCATACTAGTTTTATCAAGTTTTGCAAAATGTCCATTATCAAACAACCTTGGTAATGGAAGTGGTGTTCCCTTGTACTGCAAACGCACATTTAGGTCTTCATTAACTGTTATTGATTCTAATGTTGTTAAAAAATATGTCTTTTCATTAAGTACAATATTATAAAATGCAACACTATTTTCAAATTGTTTAAATTAAAAGCCTGTTGCTACTGATTTATTTAAATTATGTACACTTGTACTTGTATCATTTTTCTTTTGTTGGAGTGTTTTGTTGGTGTGCTTTGTTGTACTGTTTTGTTGGAGTCCAATTTAAGCGATTAACAAATAGTATTTAAAGTTGATTTACATTTTGGTCTGTTGAAAAGATGAAATTTGTTTGTGTTTGTTCCTTAAATATTCCGATGTACATTTTGGTGCAACATATTTGATGACCATTTTAAATATAATTTCTTTAAAAATTAGTAAATTTATAAAGAAAAATGGTTTTAAAATAATATTTTAGTGGTTTTTATTTCAAAAACTTTTATAACCATAAATATAGTAGGCTACCATATATAGTTACTATGTAATGTGTGTATTATATATATATATATATATATATATATATATATATATATATATATATATATATATATATATATATATATATATATATATATATATATATATATATATATATATATATATATATATATATATATATATATATATGTATATATATATATATATATATATATATATATATATATATATATATATATATATATATATATCAGAGGCGGATCTAGCATTTTTTGAGCTAGCTAACTTCCAGACATTCAACAAATTCAAAACATTTTTATGTTTATACTTATTTCAAATAAGTATGCTTTGCAAAAAATCGTGATGATTAGAGCCTGGGAACAAAAAAGCCCTAAGCTCTTTGTCCACAACTGCCCCAAACATGAAAGCAACAAGTTGATAAAATATTCTATGTACTATTTTGTAATAAACTTATGTTCATCGATAAACAGCATGCAATAATCTCTTAGCGTTCAAAAATTATGACTATATAAAGTTTACACCCTCCTCAATTTGAAGAGGTTACAAATTTTATAAGGTCATATCTTTTGAACGCTAAAAGATTATTGTACAAAATTAACCTATGAATATAAATTTATTATAGAATAGTACATAAAATATTTCATCAAAGTGTTGCTTTCACGTTTGTGCCATTTGTGGCCATTGTTTAAGAGCTTTCCTAGGTTAGCTAACATCAAAAATTGCTGGATCCGCCCCTGTATGAGTATATATATATATATATATATATATATATATATATATATATATATATATATATATATATATATATATATATATATATATATATATATATATATATATATATATATATATATATATATATATATATATATATATATGTATATATATATATAAATATATATATATATATATATATATATATATATATATATATATATAGTATATATATATATATAATATATATATATATATATATATATATATATATATATATATATATATATTCATTCTTTGTTTCTTTGTTAGCTAATGAAATTAAAGAGGAAACACCACCTTTTATGGAAAAGAAATTCAATCTACAGACTTTTTCTCAGTGTAAACGGTGCAAGAGTTACTCCGTGCACCCGTTATGTGTGATGAATCCACAAAAAATGAAAGTAATTTTACGCGAAAATTCTCAATCTGACTACCCGCGCCATTCTTATCTGTGTTTATCAGGAACTCATTTGTACTATACAAAAGGACACTGGTTACCCTGTGATGGTTCATCGATTTCTCTAAGCAGTGAGAACATCGATCGTAAAAAGTTAAACTTTGAGTTAGGCAACGGAATAATATGTAAATGGGTTCAGGAAACACGAACTTCCTTTCAATGGAAAGTAGTTAAAGTGCCAGAAAATGATATAAATTCGAAATCAAAGGATCTTTACAAACATGATAAAAACTTTTTAAATGAATGTAACCCCTGCAACGTTTCAAAAAATATTGCTGATGAATCTACAACAACTGATGAGTCTACATTGACCAATACTGGTACTAATTATTCGCTGGAGAAATCTTTAGAAGAAGCTTTTCACTGTAGACAAATGGATATTAAACAAAAAAAATATAATTTTTTGGAATATCCAATAAACAGTATATTAATGAGCAACAAACATAGGTATTCACAACACCGAAGCCCTCGTCATTTTATTAAGTCAATAATTAAAGAAGTTTTAAGCATTTGTGAAGTGTTTGACCCTTTTTTAGCTTCTGAAAGGCGAATAATTGGGGATGATTCATTAACACCTCGAATAGGGTGGATGATACGGAATGAATTATGTACTGCTTTGAAATCTTTTTTGACAGCTGGTTTTAGTGTTAAAGGTCATTTTCTGAAAATCATGTTTTCTCAAAACAATCCATTGTTGTGGCGTTATATTTGCGAAATTTCAAAGGCCAATGACAAATTTAATTCCATTATTAAAAAAATTGAAGCAAATCCGAATTTTAAAGATAATGACGCTTGTTTTAGAGCATTTGTTTGTCAACTCCTTGTCCAAGAGTGTAACCAAACAAAAAACAAACTTTTGAATGTGTGGTTGGAGAAAATACCATTAATGGAAGCCGTTATTGAGAAGTATTTTGATTCAAGTTCATTTTGGCGCGATGTGGACTGCGATGAGTTCAAAGTCTCATTCAAAACATTGATTGAAACAACGAAAAAATTGAATGACTATCCATTCCAACTTAGTTTAGATTTTGAAACTAAAAACTCTCGATCGGTACGATCTGCAAGTTTTCCAAACAATTACTACGAAAAGAATCAAAGATCTTACCTAATTTCAATTGAATGATGTTTTTTTTTCTAGTACTTTTTAAAATACTTTTTTTATTCTAATATCAATTGAATGTGTCTTCTTTTCTAACACTTTTTAAAATATTTTTTTTTGTAAATATGTTTTTCAGTATTTATATTTTAGCATGGAAACTACCTTATTGTATATATATAAATATATATATATATATATATATATATATATATATATATATATATATATATATATATATATATATATAAAATAAATATATTTATATATTTTGTTATAATAGCTATTGTTTTTTTACTTCATATTTTTCTTCAGTTTTGTTTTTTTACTTCATTGTATGTATATATTTTTTGATATACTTTATACGCTTGTATATTGTTACACTCATATATATTAGGTATAGTTTCTAGTTTTGTAAAAAAAAAAAAAAGTTAAAAAAATTTTAATATGATAAAAGTATTTCTTTCGTAAACTTGGAAACTTAAAATTTAAATAGTTAAAAATAATTACGGAATACAGTGATCTAGAATATCTTAAAACATAAAACGTGTTCATAATAAAGCGTGTTTTATCATAAGTATGAACGGGGTTTTAGTATCAATTTATCAACCAATTGTTTTCTACACGTTATGTCTATCATAATGGCATTACTATATTACTATTATTGTTATTATTGCTATTAATATATATATATATATATATATATATATATATATATATATATATATATATATATATATATATATATATATATATATATATATATATATATATATACTGTTGAAAAGATCGAATGCTCATAATTGTTATAAAAATTGCTAATAAATGCAAAGTATTCGTAGTGGCAACACACTAAATAATCTTGCATTGCGTAGGTAATGATGGCGTATTTATCAAATAATAAGAAAATATATTATTATATACTCTATATAGATTAAAATGATGTTTAATTCAATCATTATCTTAGAATATAGCTACGACAACTAGTACAACTTTTAATAGAAGACGGCAAGTCTGAACAGTTTGCAGCATGTTTAAACAACCCAGCCAGCAATAGCAAACAGGCCCCGTACGATTTTTATCTGGGCTTCCGGGAACGGAATTTAGATGAGCGCAAGCTGGTTTCTAAATGGGTCCCATATAATTTGAAAATCACGCAAAACTTTGCATTTGGTAATGAAATGGGTTGGAAAATCTGACTTTGAAGGGTTCCCCGTTTGGGGTAAAACAAAACTTTAATAAAATGCGTTAAGTGGTCGCCATTTAAAATTCAAACTTTACGTAGAAAACTTGTTTAAACAATATAAAGCGTATAAATTATAGTTATAGTTAAAGAAAAGTTAATTTTTTCACTTTAAAAAGTTTTTCTTTTATTTAGTTTTATTTTATAAATAAGAATTATTATTTTTTTATAGAACTACCAATCAATAGCATTCACGTATATTAAGTTTTATGAAACGAGGAAACCCACTCAATAAAAAGTTCGAAATAAGCATTTAAAATTATGTAGTTTCTCTTTTATATTTTTAACAACTTTAAAGTAGTTTTGCAAGATTCGCAATAGTTCTGAGACGGGTAAACGCATCTGGGGCCCAGATGGAAACCGAAGGCCAAATACCGCCAGGATCCCGGAGGGCTTTTTATATGGGGTTCTTTACGGGGTAAGAATGTGGGATTTGTTTGAGACCCATACGATTAACACGGCGGACAAACCCATGTGGGCCCCGTATGAAACCCGCCACCAAAAACCCGCGAGATCCCGGAGGGCTATCCACACGAGGTCCAGTTGATGACCCGTACAAGTCTAACACGGTACCCGTATCACAATGCTAGCTGGGAAGACTAAGACAGCTGTTTATGATTTGATTCGGTGCATCAAGTCAGCAGATAACATCAATCCAGAAAAATCGTGTTGAAAACCATTATTACCGCTCTAAAAACCAACAACATGGTACGCCGTTCACTCTGAAGAATATACAGATTTCAAGCTAACAAATTCTTACTCATCTTTCTCCTAATGTGAACTTTAGTGCACGCACATGTTTTCAGATGAAACGTAAATTTGTAAATTGCAGCACATAATGTTTAACGATGTTTAACGGCGTACGTACTCGCTTTCTGTAACACTCCTGCCTCGTTTATACATATCTGTACCATTTACATCTCTAGTATGAATGTTTAACGGCTACCAAACTTGCGCTTTGTTTCTCGACACGTCGCACATTCTGTTAAGCAATGTCCAGCAATTATGAATTGGGTTGCAATCACTGCTTCCGATCCACTATGAGTCACTCATTGGAAATAGCATTTTACTTACATTTCTTAAGAGTTTTCCAATTTTAATTTTTTTAATTTTTTTTTTATGGAATTAGGTTATTAGTTCCTAATTACAACCAAACAATTTAAAAAATTTTCAATTTCTTTGTTTTAAAAGCTGGGGAAATTTAGGATTAAAATAACACGTTTTTAATAAATTTTTGAATTCCTCAGATAAAATCAAACTTCTACATTGAACTTATATATTTTCAACTTAATGATATATTAAATTGAAAACCAAAAAATTTAAATCAAAAAAAGCTTTTGCATAATAGTTTTTTGTTTAATTCAGTTTGTAATGATTAAGTGAATTTATCATGTTACTACGAAGGTAGTATTTTATTTAATACAGATTTTATGCAACTAATTGACCTTTTATCAGTAAAAAATATTCTGGCTACCTCTATAATAAGATACTCAATTCATTTTTACGGGTGTGAACTGTATAGAGAAACTCAGATTATTTTTTTATAAAAAACAAAATGATTTAAAAAATAAACATGCTTTAATGTAAGGTACTTTTATAAAGAACGTACGCAGGTATGAGGGGTGGGGTTATAAAATGTACGGAAGCATACAAGAAAGGCAGGGGTGTTAAAGAAAGCGATAACGTACGGCATTCGACTATTTATCTCGTTCTCTCTCTCTCTCTTGCAACTTGATTTCTTTTTTATTATTTTTTTTCTAATAGTGGTTCCTTGCAGCTTGTTAGAAGTGAAGATTTACCCATTTTTTTAATCCTACTGTAGTTGCATTTGTAGTTACATCAAGAAATCCGAGAAAAGATTAATTCATGTTGCAATTTTCAGAGTTTAAATCTACCCAACGTATGACTATGGAAATATGATCACGTCGTTTTGTTTCACGTTCACGTATTGTTTATTAGTTATGATTTTTTGTGATCAAATGATATTTTACTGCTTTAGACATATTGGAACTTCATTTTGATTTTTAGGGATGAGCTACTTTGTGGATCATAATGGTAAATGTTTGACCACTTGTAAAATTGGGTCATACTTTGCTAGCATAATAACCTAACCCAAAATATTTCCTCATTGACATTTACCCGCTGATATTATTTTGCGGTGTCCTTGAAAAAGCAAGCAAAGTTTTTTAAGGATTGATATAATATTAATGATTCGCTCAATAATTTTTCTTTAAAAACTAGACTGCTCTTTCATTCCATTTTCATGATCTTTGTCCAACGGTTTCCAGATTTCCATTAGATGAAATTAAAAGCAGATATATAGATACGTGATTTTTCATTCTGTCTTATTTTTTCGTTTAGATGGCAAGATAATTCAGTTACACCGCTTATTCACTGCCAATTGAGATTCAAATCACATTGATCAGAAAACAACCAGCAAGGCTCACAATAACGCCGGCCCACGCTTAAAGAAAAGCAAAACCAAGTTTCAAGTTTCCGGAAGTTTAAAATGAGTAAAATGATTCGCTAAATAATTAAACTCCTTTTCTACATGGTCCTACTAGCTACTAGCTTACATGGTCTATGCTGCAGAATAGTTTCTATCAAATTGGAACTATTCATTGTTTGAGGAAAAATACCACGATCAGTTGAAAATTGAGCTGACGAAACAAATGAATTCATTTGTAAATCTTTCTGATACACGTGTTCACATGTAGTTATAAAATAAATTTCTATTTATAGCATTAATTTTATTTGTCATTTGCGCAGGTATGATTGTACCAACATTTTTCCTTATAATAGGTTATTCAAAGTCAGGAAAAGAAACATTGTGTTTAGCAAATTTTCTTTCTTGAATGGGTGGATCTGGAGTTAGTGATAAGTCAAGTCGCTTTTTAAAAAAGGAACTTATGCAATTTTTTTAATTTAAATTAAATAAAATGAATTTGATATATTTTATTTAAATTAGGTTGTATTTCTTCCAAATTAAATGTAGTTTAAGTTTTTGCTTGAAGTCCATAAAATATATATATAAAAAAATAGTTTAACGGGAAACGGAAAATAAAATATACTACATCATAAACAAACGATAAGACTATGTATCGCAAAAAAATTTGCATTTTACCGGTTTGCAAGTAGGGGTAGAACTAGCATCAGAAGGTAACAAACTAAATTAAATTTATCTTTTTCTTTACAAATTTGTAAGAAATAGCTGTTGGTTAAAACCAAATCTGGATTTTTGAAAGATACAATACCTCCATTAATGTTCAGATATTAATGGAGAAGACAGCGTTGGATGCTAAAATTAAAAGTAAACTTAATTTAAGTGACAACAAAGAAAAATAAGGGATGGTTCATTACACTTTGGTTTCAATAAATAGAATTATTAAAATCAAAACAATTTGTGTTACAGTTTTCCTAATTTAAAATTTTGACTTACTTTCTTGACTTGTAGATGGAGCAAGCACTTTTTCGAGACTATAGTTAATGTCAACACCTAAAATAAGGGAACTAAAATAAGTATTACTAGAGTTCATAAGACTTTAACCAACAAATAAAAATAGGTAAATAAATGTAAAAAGAAATAAAGAATTTCTTACTCAATTTTATTTTCGTGAGCTTTAGTTCAATACTATTTTTAGGTTTTTGTTTTAAAAAAAAAATAGTTTAAATAAGGGCAACCTGTAGTTTAAATAGTGAAAATCAAACTTGTAACTTTCTTGCATAATGCAGAGTTTTTACCTGGGAAGAAGTAAAATATTTATTTTCATTTGATTAAAATTTTAAGAATTATACTTTCACTTTCAATTTAATTTTCATAATTTGACCAAAACAAACGGAAAAATCAAAACAAATAACGTCATAAAATACGCGAAGAAAAGCATATATATACACATAGTTTATATATGCAATTCCTTAGTACCAATTCTTTAGGC